TTTGGTTATTGGTTACAGTTGGTTAACATGAGTTGAAGTTTATGTATTAGTTTGTGTTTGTGCTGGTACTCAGACTGCTCCGAGCAATACTCTTTCCTTAGTAAAACATGAGAGCAGACAGATAGTAAAGTTTCTCTCTGCTTTGGTGTTCTGCCAGTGATACAGGTCAATATTTTTCCTATTTACCATAGAAGACTGTAAGATGAGACATGAATTCTCTCAGGATCCATAAACTCACGTTCAGTGTAGTTGCTTGGGGCAGTACAGACGCTGAGTCATCAGCATGGTTCCTGAGGAACATCTGACTTTTCCAGTTTCAATCAGCAGTAAAGATGGTGAGATGCACTCGAGGGAAGTTTGCAGGCATAATTTTTTTCCACAGTTCTTTTTCCTCATGCTCATATAATTCTGCAGCTGGAGCAGTAAAATCTGAGCTCACTGTACATGTACAGTAATTATGCCCTCCTGAGGCAGTGTCCTGAAGTCTTTTCCCAACCCTGTCACTGTGAGAAATCTTTGACTGGTAGCTTTGTATTTTGAATATAAAATAGCAATCATATCTTTAAGGTATTCGCAGAGGGCTTTCCATGGTTTATCACAGCTCCTTGTCCAGGAATCAAGTAACTTTCTTGAGACTGCCTCAGGAAAGGAATTGAAACTGCAGATTTTTTTTCAGCTGATGGAAGTGAATATTTAACTTCTAGAGGGATCTTGAAAGTCAGTTGCTATTGCTGTGTCTGGTCTGTTCCTGGAAGTTCAGTAATAGATTTCCTGTGTCTTGAGGGCTTGCAACCATGTCAAGTCAATTTTTGTTCTCTGTGTCTCTAGGTTTCCTGGCTTCATTGAGTCTTAGAGTTCTTGCTGAAGGAAGATTAAACAGCACATCATGGAAAACATTATAATAGCTGTAAAAACTTGTTTTTTGTGTTTATATGTGTTCAGTTAATCTTTGATTATTTGCCCTTCTCTTTTCATTCTAAAATCCAAAGCAGAAATGCAACTAAATGTGTTGGATAAGACAAGACTTTGGAGGTGGGGAGTTTAGTAGTTTTAGGAAGGGATAAATTAAAATATTTTGTTACTGCTTTTGTAAGCTAGAACAGTCCTTGCCATTCCATGTTACACATTACTGAAGCTGCAGTTGTAGTGTAGTTCCTTAAATTAAAACATGCTGTACAGACAGAAAACTAAAACAAACATAAGACTGAGAGTTGGGATGGCTTTTATCTTAGATTCTTCTGTTGCCTTTCATTTTGAATGGGATTTTTAAAATGAAGTCTTAACTAATGATAAAGGCATTTTTAAATTCTAGTTTTATTTGGGTTTTGCTTTTTGTTTGTTTTTAAATTAATAAAGACAGCCTTAGTCTGTGGGTACTGGGTTACATCAGTGCAAAAAGAAAAATAAAGTTTACAGGAATCTTACGCATCTTTCTTTCTTTCTTTTGCCATGAGAGAATACAGCCACTGCTTTACATAAGAGTTTTGGGAAGTCCTCTCTCTTTCTTTAATACTTTCTCCTTTTTTTTCACTAGTGTTCTGTACTAATATATAGAAATATATATAATGCATAGAAATATACTAATGTATAGAAAATGTATAGAAACTAGTACTAGTTTCATTCACTGTTTTATATGTTTTTTCAAATGCAGCTGTTTTGGTTGATTATTAGAATTGCAGTGTCTGCAAGGTCAGGTATTGACTGCTGGTGGGGGACTTTTGCACTGCACCAGGTCCTGACCTGGAAGGTCAGGAAACTGAAGCATCTGCTTACCTGAATCTTTTTTTTAATCTTTATTAAAGAGATTTTAATTAAGAATTTTCTTCCTTCCAGTCTCAAATCTTATTTCTTCATTTGATCTACAGATAAAATCAAGTTCATCAGTTTGTGATATCCTGCTCATTACTATGACAGCAGCCTGCCAAACAGACTTGATGAATAAGAGAGGCTGGAGAGAATAAGCTGCTTTGCTTTGTGAGCGAGGAAATGTTCTTGTTCAGCCCCATCTAATTAATTAATACTATCCCACTTATGCTCAAAACTGTTGTCACTGTGATGATTTGGAGTCAGTGGCTCCCTGCTGCCTGTTGCTTCTTTACTCTGCAGTAGGTGTGGTTGGGTGTGAAGCCTCAGCCATGTGTCTCTGCTCAGTGAAGTGTATGAGGTGGAGCGTGGCCCTCCAGCTGCTGTGTCTGGACACTGCCAGTAGACAGTGGGAGCCAACTTAAGAGGAAGTAAAATAACAGTATTTTGGAAGTTCTCTTTTTATCAGGCTTGCAGTTGTGCTTTTACAGAGACTAGATGGTGTCTGATGGATTATAACATGTCCTTGTTGGCTTATTGGTCAGACTGAGTGTGGGGTTCCACACTTGCCTGAGGCAAGTACAAGTCCATATTGCTGCCTGTACTTTTGCTGGGCTTTTTTTCTTTTGGTCCCAACCAGCCAAATTGTACTGCTCATGTACCGCACAATCAGGAGGATGAGGATCTCCTTTAAAAACCCTGTTACACTGTTCAGGTTGTTTGAGCTCAGCATGCTGTTCTTTCTGTGCCATTTCATCTCCCAGGAGTGTTTTCAGCCATTTGTGTGCCTGCCCTTTTTCTTAAAGTCTTCTTTCATCCTGAAGAACAAATAATGGCTTAAGCAGTGGTGGCACATACACATGCTAGGTAAAGGAAAAGAGACACAATCTGCTTGAGGAACTGTAGGTTGCCTGGCTGCCAAAGTGTAGGGTGTAGTTCAGCATGTGCTTTGCAAACACAAAGAAAACTCTTCAATGTAAGTGTCCTGTTATCCTGTCTAAAATACAAATCATCATATTTTCTGTGGCTTTGTTGATAATGGGGAAAAACACACTGACAGAAATATTAAAATTACTAGGTACCATAATAAATATGATGTTAATTCAGAAATTATGAACAAATTGAGACCCAATGGAGTTACATTTTCTCAACAAATCTTAAGTTACAATGGGCTGATTCCAAACAACCATATATGAAACTATAAGATTTTCTTTCAGAGAAGTTGGTGCTCTCTTGTGTGTTCTACTCAGGGATTTTTGCATGTGCTAGGTTCAAATTGTGACAAGCAGTATGATTGATCCTTGGAAAAAGAAACAAAAAGTCCCAAACAAACAAAAAAGTAACTCCAAGGTCATTATTTGTTGATATAAATTGAAATTTTTGGATGTTGTCAGTCCAGTCAGCAAAGCTTATAAAGCAGATTTTAACACATACAGCTGAAGTAATACTGCTGCAGACTCAACTGAAAATGTTGACATGTCTTTAGACTATCAGTGAACAGCCATGAGCGGATCGTTAGTGATAAATGTTGAATTTGCTGCCCAGAGTATCTCCACATCTACTTTATATTTTGTTGCATTCCCTAGGACATTGTGTCCATAGCTCAGGTAACTTTTTGTTTTGGTTGTATTTGGCCTTTTGTCAGACACAGTGCTCCGAAGGTCTGTGTGTTCTGGGCCTTAGAACGTAATGCGCTTAGTCTACTTTAAGGGACTGTGAGATAGATTGGCTTTATTCAGTGCATTCAAAATGTTGTAGAAACACAGTACTCCAGTTCAGCTTATAACTGCAGCCTGTTTCATTTCTTATGGAAATATACTTTCAGTCATCAAAACATTATTGAATACTTTAGTTAGTACATAAATAAATTCAATGTCAGGGTTCAATTTTGACCAACAAGGATGTATTTCTAAAGTAGAGATTTAAGTGATAATGTAGTTAACTGTTCTTTTGATTGTAGATGAAGCTCTGGAGCATCAAGAATTGATGACTCATTTGAATCATCTCATTGCAGCTTTAATTGTTGAATGTGTATTAATTGCAACTGCCAGTTATTCAGCTGGGTGTTGAAAAGGTCTCAGACCATGGGATTGCAGTGTGTACTTAGCTTCCTGAAGAAGATAAGTACACACTGCAGTCTACAACAACCCTGTAAGGGGAAGAGGAGGGAGGAGAGGCAGATACTGGTCTCTTCTCTGTGGTGACAGGCCTGAGGGAATAGCCTGAAGTTGTGTCATGGGTGCTTTTCTTTCAGTATTAGAAAAAAGTTTGTCAACCACGAGGTGGCTGGGCACTAGAACAGGCTCTCTGAGGGAGTGATCAGAGCACCAAGCCTGACAGAGCACAAGAAATATTTAGACAATAGTCTCAGACACATGGTGTGACTTTTGGGAATGATCAGGATCTTTCATTCATTCTAGCCTTATGGGGACAGAAACCAGACAGCTGAACATGAGCATTCTAACCATTTGAAAGGTCTGTTTTCAGTTAACATAGATATTATAAACCATTGATTAGTCCTGTGCTAAAATGCTGTGCAAAGAGGGGAAATAACAATGTCTTATTTCAAGTTAATTTTAATACTAGAGAACAAGTAAGAATGAAAGCTGAGAGACACAGATGGAATAACAATGATATGGGGGGGGGTGGGATTTGGAGTTTCCTTTGGGTTTTCCTACAGCCGCCGTATGTTTAAAGTAACGGTGATAGGATTGGCCATGACCTCCATGTATGTGTAGGACAAGCAGTTTTGATAGTAGAGAAAAGAGGAACTGTTTAATTTATGAATATGATTTTTGTGTAGTGTTCTGAGTGGGTACGAGAGCAGTTAAATTCCAGGCATGAAAACTAGACAGTAGGTATTAAAGAAGTTTGCATGATGTAGCTGGAGCTAGAACTTTATCAGAGTAGCCAGTAGAAAAGTCTGTATGTTAAATAACTGGAAAAAGCTGTGAGATTTAGAAGTACAAATTGACACAGATCCCAGACAACTGATAAAAGATGTTCTAATCACTGCATTTCCCCCCTTGAGTGAAAAAAAACTGCAGTAAATCCAAAAGTAGTGTATTAAAGCTGCTTTCTCATGAGTCTCTGCATAGACTCACTAGTAAAAGCAGTTCAAACTACTGCACTTAAGTTATTTCGTTATTGAATCAGTATCCAACTTAACTCATGCTCTTTTTTTTTTTTTCTTTCAGATTTTGTATTTTGTACATACATTGTTTTGTATATACTGTATATGATGACTTCGGTGGGCAGTGAACGTACCCGGGGCACTCGGGACAAAATGCAAATTGCAGCCACACAGCCAACACAACCACAGAAACAAGTAGTACAGGTATGTGCTACTGTATCAACTTCTTTGACTTGAAAGTGAGAATGTGATGATACCAGTTTCTTCCCTGAGTCAGTAAAAACTGAAAAAGATGGGAGGGAAATACATGGTTTATTTTGGAAGATTATGCTTTATTACTTGCTTTAGTTACTGAGTTATGCAGGACAGCGTTAAGTTCTATGTCTGTGTTGTCTTTAAACGAGTGTTGTGTTCTTCAGCAATGTCTCCTATCAGTGAGAAATTCTATGCCTTTCTCAGGACTTTTGTCCTGTGTCCTCACAGTCCTCAGATCTCGGCTCTTCCATCTTCTAACCTGCTGATGATAGAAGATTGCTGGTTAAGAGAGAAATGTGTGTGGGTGGGAGAAACTTCATTAGATGCATGTCTCTGCAAGTCACAAGTCTTGTACAGTGAACCATGGTCATCCACTAGCAGGCTAAAATTTTCAGTATCTGTTTTAGACAGAAATTAAGTTTCACCCACCTGCCACTGATTCTTGGCAGCAGTAGTTGTGTGCTTGTCTGGATTCAAAGAGTGCAGAATGTTTCTGCTTCTGGCAACTCAGTATTCTCTTGCCAGATACATCTCAAAATTTGCCTCCATTCAAAAACAGTCTCAGTTCTTTGCTGGCAGAGTGTGTTTTAATCTAGAGGTGCTCTACAGGGAAATACTGCCTTCTCTTGGTTTTTTTGGACTGGTCTTCAATATGGAGACCCTCTTGGTCTGTTTTTCATGGTATTAATCATGTGACCCCAAACCCTTGTCATCTTCTTGAGTTGCAGCACTTGATATAGTGGTGATTATGCTAATGTGTCTTTAGATTTAGAAATTGATTTTCAACAGATGAGTTGAATTTGGTTTTATTTTGAAACAAGGCTGCAGGAGTATAGTGAGCAGCCTGGCAGAAGTGGTGGCTTCCCCTTTTCCAACATTTTGCAAGACAACACTGGAGTGCTTTGCCTGGTTGGGTTCCCTGGCACAGGACAGACATAGGCAAATCGGAGCAAGTCTAGTGAAAAGCTGCAAAGATGGTTGTTAGACTGAAACACAGAACAGATGAGGTGTTGCTAAGGGATCTGGATTTCTTCAGCCCTAATAAGACAAGGCAAGTGTGTCTTCTATTCAGGTATCTCATGAAAGGGTATAGGAAAGGTACAAACCAACTCTCCTCAGAAAGAAAGCAGAACAAGCTGGAATACTGGTAATTCCTGCTGTTAAAAGGAAAAAAAAAATTACCGTGAGTACGGCCATGGTGTATCACTGGATGACCTTTCTAAACTACAGGATTCATTGATTTTAGGCATTAAGGCCTATTTCTGGATGTTGTCCATTTATTCTACCTTTTGCATAATAGGTACTGGTTTGATCACTACAGGGAAAAGGTGGTTATTTCATACACAGCAGTTACATTTTAATGCACCATATATTTTATTGTTGAGATATCACATGGACCTTTCTGCTTAGTCTTCGTGGATCAGCAGCAGTCTGTGGATTTACCTGTTTAATCACCACTGATTCATTTTTCTGAATATAGAATATTGCTGTTTTCCCAAATGAAGATTCCACTGTCATAGTATCACATTGATCATCATTTAAATTATTTAACAAATTGCATCATGCTTCTTTTGCATTGTTTCTGGATAATAAATATGCCATTTTATTGTAGGATCTATGTCTGCTACTGTCACTTAATCTTGTATTGCACACTTCCGTTTTCTGGTAGTTTGAAGTTTCTAGTTTAAAATTTCTTCCACTCTTTTATACTGAAAAGGTATTATGTCTCATAAGGTTGAGTAAAATTCAGGCTGTCCTAAGATACTACTATTTTCTTAGTCACAATTAAAACTTAATTATACTTTTGGTTAGAATACTATAGCATCTGTTCTAACAACAGTGCCTTAAAAATAAAGAACCACCACTTGCTGGAGAAAAGGCCAGGATTTTTTTGAGACACCAGTTTCGTGTTTATGTAGTCATCTTGTGATTTTTGTTGTTGATTTTTTTCCTTCTGCATCCTCAGTTCCATCTGGGTATAATCCACTGGCATAAACATGGTATTGCATCTGCAAGTTTCTAAGCTCTCTGCTTACACAGGAAAACTGAAGATGCTGTCATGTATTTGTAATTTTTTTAAATTGGTTTGTTTTTGTTTTCTAACATGTGGGCTTGGCGAAAACATTTGTTTACGGAAAAGATAGATCATAGTGGATTCCTGATTTTTGGTAAAATATTTCATCATGTATCAATATAACAGAAGTTATATTGTCTGAATGTTTTTGCTCTGGATATCTTCAAAGAAAATCTCTTCATTTGCTTAAAAGTCGCAGTGTGCCTGTGGAGTCTGTAATGAGAGTGAGAAGATGGAACAACAAGACTTAAATTCCTGAAAACAGCAGACACTTTGGTTCTGCTGTCTGCTGAGCTCTTAACATGAGCAAGCTCCTGTGCTCAGAGCACCACACTGACAGGGGAGACTTCTGTGGGAAGAACTGGGGAGTTGCAGAGCAGGCCCTGCCCCTGTTATGCAGTGGGGTGACCTATGAGGCTGTCAGCATGACATGCTGAAAAGGTGAAGTGATCAGAGTATGTAACTCAGTTACAAATGATAATTTTCTTGTAGCGTTGTCTCTGAGCACAGATGTCACTTCCCTCAAGGAACTGGGACAGCTGCAGTCACTTTGCAGCAAATAAGCAGTTGGTGGTGTACGTTGGAGTAATTTTTAGACTCTTCTCAGCATTTATGCTTGGTGACCTCCTCTAGAGCTTGCATTTGTGGTAAACTCCAAACGCCAAGCAGTCTGACCCTGATTAGGTCTGACCTTGTCGGACACAGAATTTCATGTGTGTATTCTGTGAAGTGGGATGGCAAAAGGTGAGATTCAGACAGCTGCCCAGGGTGACTCCTTTCTGTCAAAAATTCCAGTAGATGAGCTGGTCCCACTCAATGTAGAAGAATCTCTGCAGGCTTAGCAGCCACATCATGGGTCCTAGCTCCCTTCAGTATCAGCTTTCTCTATATGCGACAGTAGACTCTTCTCTTTGAGCAGAAGTCAAACGAGATCCAGGATCTTGTAGTGCACACTGTTCTTAGGTATTTTCTTGGGAGTGCAGTTCATAGCCTGCAGATGCCACACTAGGAAGAGTGACATGTGTGATGTGACATCTGTGTTACAGTTGATTTTCTCTCAGGGGTAGCCATAGTGTGTTTGGACTTACTGTACTTGACTGCATCTCTTTCAGTCTCTCAGCTTTTGTGCAAGTTGCCAGTGTGCATTTTTGTCCAGAAATGTTGCAGAAGCACCAGATACTTCATCAATAGCAAGTTCATTTACCAATTTTCAGAGACCAGTATTTGCTTGTAAAAAAAAAAATCAGTACAGCTGTTCATGGGGAAAGTCTTTAGACATGACTCAAGTCTTTTTGAGTGCTCATGAAAGTATATAGTCGGGTTGTTGTTGGGAGAAGTGTGGATGGTGATGTGAGCGGGGATCATCATAGATTTGGTTGATTTAGACATACTATTGCCAGTTTGTTACAATAAAACTCTTAACTCTGGAGTAGAAGATCCTAAATAAAATTAAAAACATTAATGCTAAAACATCGGCTAAAAAAACCTCGTCCTTCTATATTATTATAGTCAGTGTAGTGATCTCTAACTGTGTTTCAAATAGATTAGAATGTGTGGAAATTACTTCTATCACAAATAACATTTAAAATATAAATGGGAATAGACAAGATATTGATCCCTTCCCCATAGCATCTCTGTGCTTGATGTGTATGTTCTTTTTTGAGAACCCGTAGGAAAAAATCAGGGACACTAAGATATACTTCTAAAAAGTATAGTTACGTTTTGTGTACTTCATTGGATATTATCTTTTTTCAGGCAACAGCAGAACAGATTCGCCTTGCTCAGATGATCTACGATAAGAATGACGCAGATTTTGAAGATAAAGTGAAACAAGTATGTTTCTTTTGGTACAAGTTTTTTTGCCCCACAATTAAATGCTCTAGAGCTGGCTTAGATTTTGTAGCTAGAGCATCTGTTTCTGGGTTAGATGAAACTTTTTTTTCAGAAGGACATAAGTTTGATTAGGAAAAGGTGCTCTTACTGCACTGTAAAGTCTGTTTACAAGAAATTTTGTGGTAATGCAGCTCTGACTGCATAGTTATATCAGTGTACTTTCCTTCGTAGACAAACCCTTCAGCCAAAGCTCATTTGTGCTGATGTCTCTTCCTCTGTATCTCTCTATTATGGTCCTGATGATTAATGATTCTCAGAATGAAGAATGCATTCAGTTTGTCCACATGTACATGCATGTGAGAAAAAAATGTCACCTGTGTAAACTGAGCTTGGAAGTTTTTTAGGAAAAGTATAAGTCTAATGACAGCTTAAAGGTGAATCAAGATTTTATTTAAAAAAATAATCTGACCTCACAGATCTGTGTATGCATTAAAATGATAGAATTACAATGTATAAATGAAATCTCACACCTTTTCCTCTATTGTGAAGTGTTAGGTGTTAGTTAATCAAGCTTTCATTCCCTAGTTAGAGCTGAGACCATGAATTCAAGCAGTCCTGGCAATATGGGTCTCTGTTCTGTTGTGGCTATTGGTGATTTTGTCCTAGTGGTAGCGTCACAGTTCATGAGGAGCCTGGGAGTACACCCAGGAGGGAAGAATTAGCTTGAGTGCATAAATGCAGTGGAGGAGTAAATTTCTTGGTTTCCTTTCATCTCTAAAACTTCCTCTGAAGCATTATTAAATACTTTTTGTTGTTGCAAACTAGTTTTGTTGCTGTGCTGAAAATGAAGTCTTGTACTTCATGAAGCCAAAGGACTCTCGCCAACAGTGCTTGTAGGTGTGCTGGTGGAAAGGAGATGAATTAGGTTCTGCATAGAATATATTTTACCTTCTGCATATGTATTTCCAGCTCATATAGTTTTATTCTCTGGATGAAGTTGCTGAATACCCCGTGACAGATTATTTCTGTCCCACAGTCTTCAGGATATACACCAGGAGTTCAAGGAGCATAATTCAGAACTAGGTCTCCTTAATCAGCTTGTGACTCTGGTGTGGCCTTATGCTGAAATGGATCAAGGGCGCTAGTCTGTCTGAAAAATAATCTGGATGGTTTTCCAGGTGATCTGTTCTCTGCCATGTCTTGCTGTATGTCTTTTCTCACACTGGGACAAAGAGGGGCGCATTTGATGGAGAAGGAGATAGTGATACTGAAACTATTGTGTTCCTTTTCAGCTTTACACTCATATACTGCTTTATCTGGCAGCATTTGCTGCAAGCATAAAGAACAAAAAAAGCGTGAAATAGTACTTCCTTGATTACCAATTAATTTGTGCTTCTTCCTCTCTATTGTCTGAATCCCAAGCAGATGTGCAAAATGCAGATTACTTTTCTCAGGATATTAGTTTACTCTGCAATGGTAGCTATGCACTTCGTTGTAATTTGTGGCCATACTAGCTCTTACTTTCTTATGATGGTAGTTAGATATTTTAACATGTCTAACTTTTACTGCCAGCTTATGGAGGTAACGGGGAAAAACCAGGATGAATGCATAGTGGCGCTACATGATTGTAATGGGGATGTGAACAGAGCAATCAACATATTGCTGGAAGGAAGTTCAGACACGGTAAGGTTTTACTTCCATGTTAAACCACTCCTTTTGTTTGCTGTGTTTTTTAGCTTCTAGAAGTACCTTAGAAAAGTAATGTTTTGTAAGTTTTTAATTTCCATTCAATTTCTTTTCGAGGAAATGGAAACTGGGGCAGCCTCTCTACTGCATGGATACCTTGGAGAAGGCTGAATCTGGAAAATGCTGTGGGTGTTCAGCTGGTCTATCACAGAGTTCCTATGTTTTTATTTATATACAGCAGTTTTAACTCTGCAGCAGAACTCAGTGCTGCTTCAGACACAGGCTTGTTTCTTGCTGCAGGCTTTGTAGTTACTGTGTAGATCCTCCACAATTCTGAGGCCTGAGACCATCACAAAGGTCCATCTTTGTAAACCTAGGTGCAGGCAGATATTTTAAGTTATGCAAGTTCTGTAGGTGTGGGTTGCTGGTATTGAAGTTGTAGGTGGTGTCCACATCTGCAAATTGTATTAATAATGCTACTTATGGCAGAAAAGGATGCAGCAAATAGTTGCTCCTTTAACTGTGTTTCTCATTTGCATGGCTTAATTGAAAAACAGGAAGAGGAGACTTATCTGTGTGTATGCAGCAACAAATAATATTGCTTAAAAGGTTGCACAGTGAAATTTTATCCTAAGAGATATTAAGAAAATATGTTGTACTGCAGTTGAAGTTTTTGCTGAAGGGATTTCTTATAGCTTGTCCTTAAATTAGATTCTATCTCATCTAAGTTGGAAAAGTAACCTGGACTTCCTTTTTTGATGCTGAACACTTATTATTTCCTGTGATTTGTCAGGATGTGTACTCTGGCTTATTGTTAATGAGGAAACTCACCCCTCACACACCCTTAATCTGGGACACACACTGTTCTGACTGAGGGGACTTTCTTTTCTATCCCCTTTTCATTTTTTATTAGAGTTGAGTCTTGTAAAAACAGAAGTATATGTTATTGACAAGCTAGGAGTAGAAGAGAGCATTTCATCTTAATTAGATCTATCTGCGTAATGTGCTGTGTTCTCTCATACTTCTCGTATTTGCCATTTTTTAGTTGAAAGTAGTTTTCTGGTTGATGGAAAATATTAAGATATCCTTTCTTACTTGAACGATTTGTTGTAACTGATCATGACATGGAAAAAGTTTTCTGAACTCATTTATCAAATACAAGTGATACTGATATGTTCTGCTTTTTTGACAAGTCCTTCTTAACCCACTGCTCCCTGAAGACAAAATGCAACTTACAGACAAATACAAAGAACTTGAACGAATCAAGGAGGAAGGAGTATTAATTGATGGGTGTTAAGAAATTTATTTTTGAATGTTTGTGGGCCTCCAGTTGGAAGGATTTGTTTTAAGGCCCTTGTACTTGAGAACAGTTTAGCCATGGATTTGATGTGAAGTTGTAAGCTGAGGTACTACAAATTCTGAATGCAAATTTCCAAATCTCTTTTTTCTAGTCTCACTCTGCTTGGATGCACTTGAAGTTTTCTTAAACTTCACTTGAAAGATGTATTCCTTCAACTGAAGGTATTAGAAGAGCAAGGAAAGCTAAAATGTGTATTTATAGTTTATTTGGTACTCAGCCAATTTTATCTTAGTCTTTTTTTGTTTGCTTTTGGGGCTTAAAGCTGTGATCTACAAGCTGTAAACGTGTGACTTAGTCTCTGTAAAGACTTCCTTATTGCAGCAGTTGTAGCAGTCTGGCTTGGGGTAGTTAGAGGCTTGTGGATGAGTAGAGAAGATACGTTTCTTATCCTAAGATTTATATTAATTTAACTTCTTGCATCCGTTTTATGCTCAGCCATGTTTGACTTATTAAACCTTTGAGGATACAACAAAAGAGACCTTTCAGATTTTTATTCTTTCCATGTAAGAACAGGCCAACAAGAACTATTCTGTTAATTATTCTGTTATTTCTGATTTTTAAAGGTCAGGCCCATGACTGTTATTTGGGTTGTCTCAGGCATTGTCAGCTGAAATTGTCATCAGTTACCTCCCTTAAAAAGAGAGACAGCTTCAATGGTTTGTGGTAGATCCCCATTCTCAGAGGTAGCACCATCCTTTATCTTAAAGGACATGCATCCTCAAGGCTTTCCTCAAAATTGTATTATGGGAAAGCATGGACCTGATGGCTTCATAGTCATCTTTTTTCTGATCCTTCCTCAGTTACTTTAACTGTCACTCAGAAGAGGCTGCTTCCTCTTCAGCTTTGCAGCCTTACCCAGTTTTAGGTATTTCCTGAAATGGTCAAAGATGTTTTGGCACCAAGCCCATCAGTGAATTAGTGCATTCTGAACTCTACAGACTTGGCTCTTCAGTAGTCAGTGTAGGTGTTTTTCCTCCTGTGAGGTATGTGAAGCACTAGGAATGTTTCATTTCAGTTACACCGGCTGCAGTAAGTGAAGCCATGTGGTACTTACTGGGGGGAGCAGCTTTGTGCCTCACAGATCAGGTGGTGGTGTTCAAATGTGTTTGGTTTTGTACCTCTGATTAGTCCTGGCTGGGCATTACTGAAGTTGCTTTAGTCTTCTGTACTGGAGGTAGAACTGAAAAGTGATTTCAGCCTTCTTTCTCACCAATGCCATGCCAAAAAATGAGAGTAACCATTATCTTTGTTCTTATTCTCTCAAAGGAGACTCTGTAACACTGAGTTTGTAAATTGCTTTGTTACCTGCTTTCTTCATAGAGCTGGCTTCCTAGGCAGCTTGAGCTAGCTGGTCATGGCCTTGGCTCCTCAGGGCTGCTGAGTTGCTTTTGGTGAAATTGAGAGATAGGACTTAAAATTACTGATAGACAACCTTTTTTGTTTGATGCAGGTGCCTGTCAGATGTCATACTTCAGTGCTTCACAACAATTTGTATGTGCAAATATTCTGATATTAAATATCTTACCTGAGCTGTAAGCTCCTCGAAATGGGGACTTATATGTAAACCTCTCTGCCATCTTAATGGTTTGCAAACAATACCTTTTATTCTTCTTACTTGCTTTGCAGCTATGGCTCAATAGACTAACCATGCTATTGCATAATATATGAGTTGCTGAGCTATTCTTGGCAAGTGTTTTAGTCATTTTATTTTCAACTCCCACAGATACCCCTGTGGAGCTGATAACATCCTTGAATTTATTTTAAAGATTGAGTTTAATATAAAAATAGAAGCCTGATGTTTGGACCTTGGTCCCATATCTTGTTTAGACATAGCTTTTCCTGTGTTTTGGTATGTTTGGTAGTCTACAGCTGTTAAGAGTGGATGGTCTGGCTTATCATCAGTTTTCTCAGGCTGTTGTTTTGCCATTATGTCTTCTGGGGCATAAATTCTAGTATGCCTGGATGAAACATTTTCTTTTCTGTGTTTTTGGTGCTTTGGTTGTTTTGGGGATTTTTTTTTGTTTTGTTTTGTTCTTGGGTATTTTTGGGTTTGGCTTTTTTTTTCCCCCCTTAGGCCAGATACTGATTCTCATCAATCTTTTGTTCAATGGTACTTACAAGGGTTTTTTTTGGTTTTTTTTGGTTTTTTTTAATTTCTCTGGGAGAAAAAGATAGCTTTGTTCATGCTCCCTTGCTAGATTTATGGATTTATTTGAGAGGAAAACAGTTGCTTGCTTTGCAGATGTTCTGTGTTATGATAGTATCTAGTCTTCCTTAAACTATTAAAAGTCCATTATAGCCAGAAATATTTAGGCTTCTCATATTCCCTAAGACATAAAAAATTGTTTCTTTCTCATCTCTTTGCAAAAATACAGCCTGTGTTTCCATTTATATCAGTGTAGTGTGCATATGTGACATTATGCAAATACCTGGGCTTTTTCCATGAACTGGAGGGGTGTGGGGTGGAAAGTGTGCATTGAGAGGTGTCTTCTTCTTTTTGACTTTTGCATCTAACTCTATTCTACCCAAATAGACTTCTTGGGAAACTGTAGGGGGAAAGAAGAAAAGCCTTGGAAAGGAAGGTTCAGAAAACAAAGAGAACAGAGAAAAACGAGGGGACAGAGAAGTGAGTCGCGGACGGGGAAGTTCCAACAGACGGGGAAGAGGAGGCAGCCGTGGACGAGAGTGTACGTACAGGGATTAATTTGTAAAGATTGAGATGCTTTTCTTGCAGCTGGAACTGACTAAGCTAAGAGCGAGTGCTTAATGGCGCAAAGTCCATCTGACTATAGATCAGTGTTGAAGGGATCATAACTTGTTTGTGCCACAGGTATGCTTGATCTATGTGACTTGGTTTTGGGATGGTCTGTACTTGCTCAGAGACACTCAGTTTAATATAAGTCTCTGTTCTTGTTTGATGAATTGATCTTGTACAAATTGCTGTTCTTCATGTAAGTTTTAGAATTGACTCTGTAAGACTGCTTGAGAGCAAGTATGTCGCTGCACAGCTGATACACTTTTTTGTTTCTTTTAATGAAAAAATTATCCAGCTTTGACTCCATCTCCTTTTATGAGTGGGAGAACCTGAAGATGTTCTCATCTTCTCATAAGGGGAATGAAAACACTGGAATGATTATTAATCTCTAAATATATTTCTCACATAAGTCAACCAAAGGTGAGTTTCTGCAACAGAGAAAATTCATTGTTAATTGAAACATTTAAAACTTGGCTACAGTTGCAATAATACATTGTACAAAAGCAAACTGATGTTTCCAGGTTAGATAGAGTCACAGTAGATCATGATCGGATACATATTATTTTTTTTAGGTAAGTTTTGTCAGCATTTGCAAAGCTGTGCTCATTGTAATGACTGTTTGCCGCACTGATAGAGAAATCAGAATGGGTACAATATGTTTAGTTTTCAACTTATAAGCAGAAAATACATTTAAAATATTAGTCAACTCATTCATAATTGGAAGATATTCAACTGTTATACCAATACAGACATTGTGAATTTTTGTAGTATAAAGTCAAGATGAAAAAAATGTTAATAAAACGTGGAGCTAGATTTAGAAAAGTATAAATTAGATCCATCAAAATGAATGCGAAGGGCAAGTTTTTTTACCAGAGATAGATGCTGGTTGTCTCTTTTTATAAACTCTAATTAAAGACATTTCAGATGGTTACCAAATACTTGTATTTTCCTCCTAACTTTATGTCTAAATGTTCTTGGTTTTATTGATGTCATTAGGAGGAATGCAGTAAAAAGTCTCAGCAATGAGTGTTTCAAGAGGTCAGTTTTGTTGGTTTTTTTTGTCCTTCGAGTAGACAGCCATATTTCAAAGCACCTTGTCAGGAGTTTTCTCACAAAACCATTAGTGTGCAGAGCTTTTCTAGTGCCTTATGTTCACCCAGTCATCATCCCTTTGCATTAAATACAGAGGAGAAATCTGTTTCCGTGATTGTACAGGGATGCAGTATGGGCAGACAGGAGAAGAGTTGGTGTTACTGGTTTTCCTTTATTTTTCCACCGTTGTCAACCAGTGCACTATCTAGGAAACACAGAATGTGGCAGCTGTATTTCTTACCTCGTTAAATAGTGTAGGCTGCAAAATACGGTACTTCGAGAGGTTTGTCTCCTGAGGGACCTTTCCTTCTTATATTTTGCTTCCTAATTGTCCAGTACAAAGGAAACATAACTTGCTTCTAGCGAGGCCTCAAAGAAGGGTTGGGTGATGGAGCTCTGTTGACCAGCCCACTTGAAAAGCTTGCCTTTTGTTTTGAGGGGTTTGGCTTAGGCAAATGGCTGTATTGTCTTATCTACCAGTCTCTAAAGCTTCTCTTAAGCTGTCCTCTCTCCACAGTTAGAGCTGAAGAGAATGGAGTGGACAACAATCAAGGAGACAGGCCTTCAGACCGTGGGAAACGTGGCCGTGGGAGAGGTGAGAAGGTGGCATTGGTGTGGGTCTGGCACTGCTTTCATGCCCTGAATTTTCACACTTGTTTCTTTAACTGCTTCTTCTCAAGTATTTTTTGTTTATCCTTTGATTTCATGCATGCTTCAGCCACCTTGTACTTGGGTATATCCCACTTCCTTACCCTTTATCGTTTCTTGATCTTGAAAGAACCTCAAAAAAAATTGACAGAAATCACTTCTGTGGTAATGTTCTGTGTGGCAGGCTGCTGTGCACTGGCTATGGAGAGCTTTTTTCCCCAGACTGACTCATGCCAGCCTCCTGTGAGTGGTAGCGTGCTGTGTTCCTCAGGATGTACCTTGGCAGTAGGAGAGCACAGGATTCCATCTGTATGGCTCTTGGGAAAGGATTTGATGTATACTTGTACCATTTCTTTGGGGTGGCTCTGGTTGTCAGGCTTGCCTTCTGCTTTTGGTAGCCAATCAGAGAAAGAACAAGCCACCTTAGAGACATTTTGCTATGAAAAGGAATTTGACATGGAAGAGTTGATGAGAGCTGTGGAGGAGGAGTATAATAGGGTCTTAGGTACAGCTCCAATCCTGTCCTGTGGAAGAGGTGGGATAATGGATTGGATGTGGAATCAAGTCATGTGTATTTGGTTTGGGTTTTCACTGGTTGGGGTGGAAAGATGCTTTTTTTTCCTTAGAGGAATGAAAATGAGTAACCCATGTGTGGTGCAGATTATGGGTGGACGAGGGTATTAAATAAATTAAATTGACAAAATGTGTAGCAGAACTAATGTACTTAGTAATGTCTGACTCAAGAAGAATTCTGCCTTCAAAGGTCTCCTTTCTCTTGGGAATGATGTGTAACAAAGCATTCAGAGACAGACACATCCAACTTCATTGCCTCCAGATTTGCATCTTGAAGGTGTGCAGAGATGCAAAGAACTAAATTCCGAAGTTTTGAGTGTGAGAGTGCCTGTGAATCAGCAAAAACCCAATGGTGTGTGCAGAGAAGTAGCTCTGCAGGGCAAGGTGTGGTATAGTTCACAGCTACAGTTTTTAGTATGCTAATAGTTTGCACTTTCAGTAAATAGAATGTAAGTATTGCAGTTATTTATTTTATAAAATAATCCTTTATATTCAAATTACAAGTGTATAAGCAGGACTTTTCAAAAATGGTTCACTGAAACTTAGAGATCAATTTCAAAAGCAGTGTTTTTTTTGCTTTAACCTTACAAACTGTATACTGTTTTTGTTGTCAAAACTGTAGCTTTCTAGATAAATATTGTATCTCTCAAACATCATCATCAAATCAAACTGACCTAACTGAAGAAATAGAAACTTCAAAGAATTTCTGTTCACTGGCTTTGTGTACACAGTATTACTGTAAATCTCTACCAAATATTTCAGACTGTTCTGTGAGCAAGGTATATTAATGAAGTGTCTGATAAACTTGTTGGCCAGCTACAGGGTCATTATATTACAAGTGGTGTATTCTATGGTAGGAAATACCTGATTAATTTTACAGTGCAAACCCTTGAAATCTACAGGGAGTTTTTGCAATCTGTGTAATTCAGTTCTTATCATTTCAGGGATACGTGACCTTTCTTTGGATATTAGTAGAAATAATAATAAAAAGCTTACTGCCGCTTCATTCTGTAGTTTTTCTTTTCTGTTACACAGAATAATCAAATGAGAGATTACATACTTCAGCTGAAAGTAAACAGATTGGTAATGTGTGGTAATCACAGAACCTGTTTTTAGAACTATTTCATGCAGTGTGTGTGTTTAGAAATCTAGGCACTGGATATGAAATAAGGAGTCAGCTAATTATCTGAGCAACACACTGTCTCTATTTTAAGCTACCTTCTCAGGCAGGAGTTATATTACTGGATGCCTTCTAGGAGATTTGCTGCGCCATCATATGTATTACTGCTTCACTGTACAAAAATATAAGAAATGATAAGCAACTGAAAATTGCAAAAATGGGATTGACACAGAGGTGATAGTGTGCTGTTTACTGAGGGGGAAAACCCCTGATACTGAGTATTTGATATTCAGTGTATAAGGCAGTAGCTTTATCTGGCAGTGGATCTTCCATTTATGACCGTGTCACGTTCCTTGTAACTTTATAGGGCAGTAGGTAGACAGAGTGCAAACAGCTCTGTGTGCTGGTATGCAGGGCGTTAGGGATTTGAAGCATATACAAATTATTGACTGATGAACAGAATGTAAAAATGTATCACAACATGTGTAACAGAGCACATCTCAGCTGTAATTGCTCTTAGATAAATCTTTGCTTGTTAAGCTAAGGGTGTACACTTTGTGTTGAAGTCAGGGAATATCTTGTTTTAAAATCCCTTCTCATCTGTGCTTCTTTTCAGAACCAAATTTCTTGCGTGAGCTTAATTTAAATGTAAGAAATACTTTAATGGTGATGAGCAGTAATTGCATCAGTGATTATATTTGTCAGTATAGCAAGGATGTGCAACTGTCTAGAATGGAATCTTTTGAAGAAATTATGGCAGATGGTTATGTCTTTAGGATTGTCAGCTATAGAAAAATTTTCTCATTTGTGTTTTAATCTGCTGCAGTATTGTATACAAACTGACAAACTTTACAAGCACAGGTTGTTTTTACGCTGCTGTTTTTTAGTGTTCTTGCATCTTCAATTTCAAGTGCAGGTCTGATTCTCTCACTTCCTCTACTTCATATTGAAAAGAATGCAGAAAAACAAAAGGGTGTAGAACTAGAAAAAGCTTTTGAAGGTACTGAGAAGTCTGGAGTTATGGGGTATAAGGAGCAATAGTCCAGGATTTTTCTGCCTGCAAGAGAGAGAGGACTGAGTGGGTGTGTGGTAGAGATCTGTTAAACTTCTGTGGGGGCAGGGGCATCAATTGATCATACCAAGCAAGTATGCAAAAGAGAGAGAATATTAAATGATTTCAGCAGGTTAGAGCTTCGAGATGAACTTAAAGTGTTGGTTCTTCGTACATGTAGTGAACCTGAGGAGCTCCCTTCAGTAAGATGATGTGGGGCAGAAAATGTACACATAAAAAAACTTGGCAATTTCATCCTAAAAAAGAATCACAGGCAAGAAAAAGAAAAACCAACAAAGGTTTTGTTGTATGTAAACTATCTTTGACTAAGGAAGTCAAAGCCACAAATAGTTGAAGACTAGGAAAGCATCCAAAGAACCTGTACTGAGGCTTCAGTTCATGCGCTCTTCCCTAGATATCTAATTGACCATGGCTTATAAAAGGATAGCAGGTAGGTGGGCTTTTGGATTTGATTTAGCACAGAAAGTGTTACAGACTTACGTATGGTAATTCTTCTGGTTTGTAAAGACAGGATAGATTTGTTGCTCGCACTTCTGTTTGTCTCTTTGCTTCGTTATTCAAGAACAGCATGAGCATGCCATAAATGTGGGTTCTGCCAGGGTTTTTTTTTCCTACAAAACAGATAAAAAAATGAAAGGAAAAATGCTGTGTTTTAGTTCCAACTCTTCTTGTCTACTGGCTGTGTAGGAAAATAACAGCTTATTCTTTTCATAGATATCTGATTATAGTCCAGCTTGTATTCTTGATCTCTTTTAATTGTTTTTAACATGAGAAATATGCTATCCTTGAACAAATTGAGTTTCTGTATCCAGAACTGCATGTATAAACAATCCCTTGGTTTGAAAGCTTAGCCTAATTGGCACAGGGTAAATTTTGGGTTTTGTTTGCCAGAACTGAGGAGGATGTTGTTTTTTTCTAAAACATGAATATGGAGCAGATCTTCTGGAAGTCAAAATTTTAAGTTTGTTTGATTTTGGTAAACTAAAATGGCTTATTCTGCATTAGTTGAGAAACTCTGTCATGTAGGTTTGGTTTTTTTTATGAGATTATCATAGTTTAGTTGTAACAAATCACTTATTTTCTTTCAAATATAGAGTTGAAAGTTTTAAGCATGACTTGTAAAAATGCTTTCTAGAGTAAATGCAGCATATAAAACTGATTAATTTCTTCCAGTTTTATGATGACTAATAAAGACAAAAGTAATTTGGACAAATTGTTATTTGTTTTGGTAGTATGGAGTACCTAGAATATGTTTCTGTACTTAGCCTCCTTACCTCTTAAGGCTTAATAAACCTCTGTTGGCTTCTTTCTGGGAGGATAGCTGACTTTGCACTGCCAGAGCAAAAATTAGGGCAGTTCAGTTACTGTGTAGTCAGAGATAACCACAAATTTAGAGTGTTGCCTGGCCTTCCAGTCTGCATTTCCTTTTTCTTGCAGCTGTTCTTCAGGCCATTTCTTAATCTTGAAGTAACTTCCTCTAATTTAAACCCTCAGTGAAAATCCGAGTTTTGGAATAAAGCACCTGTGTTGCAGTGGAAGGATTTAGGTCTACAAGCTCAGCAGAGTTGATTTTCTGCAGAATATAATTAATTTAATGGCCTAGTCCCATCTGAGCTGTACTTCTACACATGTTTCTTGTGCTGCCATGAAGTATGCTTTCACTTTGGGGGAAGAAATGTGTATGTGGAGGGCAATTCTTGCTATTCATGGAGAGTATCAGAATGGAAAAGTGATTGTGTGGTGAGTGTTTTGAAATCCTGGTGGGTTGTAGTGAAAACAGACAAACTTGCCATCTGCCTGGGTTGGACTTAAGTATTGACCTTTCTAGAATTCATTCAGGAGAAGAAAAATACAAAGAGTAAGGCAGCAGGTGACAGTAGTAGGAAATGCCTCTGAGAGGCACGGAGACATCCCTTTGGTGACATGTTGTGCTTTCTAAAGAAGTGTGCTGCTTACCAGGGGCTTTTATCAAGGATGTTACTGAGACTAATAGGCTTCTTGCAGTTCACTGACTATTACTTCCTGCTGTTGTTTCATATGGGTACCAGTGGTACAGCCAGGAGCAGTCTGAACATCATCAAGGGGAGTTACAGAGCCCTGGGTGTGGCCATAAGACACTCTGGAGCAGGTAGTTTTTGAAGGTAGTTTTTTCATCCATCCTCCCAGTCAAAAACAAAGGGGGTCAAAAGAGCCTGTTGTATTTGGAGAATCAGCAGGTGATTATAGGCCTTGTGCCATAGCAGGGGATTTGACTTCTTAGACCAGGGGACTTGCTTTGAGAAACCTGGTCTTCTGGGGACTGATGGATTCCATCTGTCAGGGAAGGGGACAGGCATCTTTGGTCATCATGGCTTCATGAAGGGCAAGTTGTGCCTGACCAATCCGGTGTTCTTCTGTGATGGAGCGATCACAACAGTCAGCAAGGAGAGGCTGGCATCATTTATCTAGACTTCTGTAAGGCCTTTGATATGGTCACACGTGACATCCTTATCTCTCTACATTGGAGAGAGAGGGATTTGAAAGGTGAACTGTTGGGTGGATAAAGAATTGGCTGGATGGATGCATCCAGTTAATTGTAGTCAGTGGTTCTATGTCCAGATGGATGCTAGTGACAGCTGGTGTTCCTCAGGGCTCTGTCTTTTAACTGGTGCACTTTAATATCTTTATCACTGACACGGTGAGATAGAGTACAAATTTGCAAATGATACTAAGCTGAGAAGTGCAGTTGACACACCTGAAGGACAGAATGTCATCTGAAGGGATCTGGACAATCTTGAGGAGTGGGCCCATGGAAATCTCATGAGGTTTAACAAGACCAAGTTCAAGATGCTGCACTCAGGTCGGGGTAGTCCCAGGCATAAATACAGACTGGAGAGAAGAACTCCTTGAGAGCAGTCCTGCAGAGAAGGACTTGGGACTTCTTACAGATGAAAAGCTGACATGAGCTGCCAGTGTGTGCTTGCAGCCTAGGAATTGAACTGGCTTGTGAGGAATGTGAAGGTCAAGGGCAACCTTGGCTGCAGTGACTGTAAAATGGTGCAGGTTGAGATCTTTGGGGCAGTGACACAACAAGCTCACTGCCATGGCCTTCAGGAGAGCAGACTTTAGCCTGTTCAAGGATTTGCTTGGTAGAGTGCTATAGGATAGAGCCTCAAAGGGAAGAGTGGCCCAGGAAAGCTTATTAATATTTAAGGATTCCTTCTTTGAAGCTTGGGAGCAGTGCATCCCAACCAAAAGAAAGACAAAACTGCCACAACTAGAGATGAAAAGGTGCTCCTGGACAAATTCAAACACAAAAAGGAAGCCCAGAAAAGGAGAAAGCAAATACATGTAGCCTGGGAGGAAGAAAGGTGAGATTGTCTGAGCAGACAGGGTTCTAGTTGGGAATGCTATTGTTGTTGGTGATAAAAGGAAAACAAGGGAAAATGTGGGCCTTCTCTGTAAGAAAACAGGAGACCTGGCTAACTGGGACATGGAGAAACAGGAGGTACGTAATGAATTCCTCTTTCCATATTCTTTTCCCACAAGATATCCAGCTGTATGAATTACAGAAGGTAAAGGCAGGGGCTGGGAGAATGAATAACCACCCACTGTAGGAGAGGATCAGGTTTGAGACTGTTTGAGAAATCTGAAGGTGCCCATGTCCGCGGGGCCTGACAAGATACATCTGTGGGTCCCCAGGGAACTGGAAGAGGATGTGGCTTAGCCACTGTCCATCATATTTGAGTTTCCACTGATGAAAAAGGGGAAGCATAACCTTTATTTTAAAAAGGGAAGGAAGGCAGACCTGGGGAACTAGAGGTCAGGGAGTGTCACATCTGTGTCTTGCAAGATCCTGGAGCAGATCCTCCTGGAAGCTAGTTTGCCTGTCACTGGAAAGTGACACACTGGAAAGTGTGAGGTGATAGGTGACAGGCAAATTAGCTGTCACAAAAAAAAAAAAAAAAAAAAAAAAAAGGCAAGCAGCATTAGCCGCAGTAGACAGCGGGGGTTATTGGTGGTTTGGTGTAAAGGTTTTCTGGCATTTATCAAGGTGAAAACTTGTTTGGAGGGCTGATCCAAAAGTGAACAAGTACTGTTTCCTGGTAGTTGTTTGGTGTTCATTCTGTGGAAAGTGCAAAACTGTCTGCATAAAAGAGCAGAGCTTGTGATCACTGGTGAGGAAGACCACAGTTGTGGTAGTTCTAATTTAAATGGGTTTAAATTACTGTGGGATTGCAGGCTCAGTATTTGGGTTTCTCCTGAGAATTCTGAAAGCTTCATTTGCTCACAATGAACTTAACTTTAACTTTTTAGTCACTGTTAAAAATCATAAAAAGTTTGCAGATACCCTGTGGGCATTCACAGTTGTTTCATGAGAAACTTCTCCATCTTAAAAGACTTTACCTTCTGTTTTAAGGCCATTTTTAAATTTTGACTGCTTAGAGAAGTAGCTTCCTTGTGTGAGAATTTAAGGATATACTTAAATTCTGGTCTGGTTGTGTCAAAGAGACTATTAGGCCTTTCCACTGGCATTTTGCACTAGTGACCATGATGTCTGAGATCCTGCATGTGAGTTAGGTGGTATTGCAGTGGTGAGCATTCACTTCCCCGTATTTTGAGTTATTTTTTTGTGTGTTTTCTAACTAGGAATTTAGTATTTTGGTTTGGTATTCCCTTTTGCCTTCATTAGAAAGGTTTTTTTGCATTTGTTAATACAACTTAATTCCAGTCTCGACAAAAAAGAATAGATACAACATGAAGAAGATGAAGGAATCCACTTGAAATTTGAGTTCAGTATTATCTTTCAAAGTCATCTTGTATCAAAAAATGCCTTGCTGCCTAGTAGTCTAAGACTGTGCATGGAACTTCAGGAACAGCAATTTTCTTTTTTGTAATTTTTTAAAATGCTGCTCATTGATGTTTTCAGTCAATAGTTTATTGTCCCCATTATGGGAACGTATTTTATGTGTGCCTGGCTTGCTAAAACATCGCTTTCTCTTTAGTGTGCTAAGGTTGTTCCTTCAGGCTTTTGCACTTGATATTCTGGGGTGACTTACCTCCTCTTCTAAAATTAATTTCTTCTTTCATGGCAGTATTTCAGTTATCTCCCTGTACCTAATAACTGTCGCACTCAAAACTGTTTCTGATTGACTGTTTTTGTGTTTAATAGCTCCCAGTTGGACTTGTACCTCAGGCTGTCACAAAACTGTTGATCTTGCCTCTGTGCAATTTCTGTAAATGGTGTTTAATGTTCTGTTGATAGATATTGATATTGATAATTGATAACGATTGAAAATAATTTTGTTACATGATGGCCCCTGCCATGAACCCAGGTAAACTTCTAAACCAGGTAGCTGGTTCTACTCTTAAAAAACTTACTGGACAGATAGGTAATCAGTGCTCTGACTTTGACAGCATTAGAGTGGGTAGGCTGAAAAACAAGGTTCGGTGGCCAAGTTGGAGGCAGTTGGGTGCAGCAGGGTTTGGGGCACTGTTGTTTATGGCAGAGAGCATATGGGCTCCATGAAGAAGGGTCGCAAATGCCAGATGGCAGCAGTTGTTTCTTCTTTCCAAACCTCTGTCTGCCTTCGCTCCAACCTTCCTTCTCTCTTGTGAAGAGGGAGCAAAGAGGGAAAAATAATGTGGAGATAACAGAGCTGGTCAGTGTCAGACTTAAACTAATCTGTGTTCTTGTCCCAGCAAAATGCTGGGAATCTTTCATCTACTTTGATGCGTCCAAGAAGTCTTGAAAAAGTAAGTCCAGAAATGTCTTTTAACACTTCAACAGTGAACTGGGGTAAAGGGAATAATGAGTGGTGAGAGCAGGAAACAGAAAGTCATTAAAGTAGAACCTTCATAAACTGGTGTTATCATGTCCTGGAGGTACTGCTCTTGCTAAGTTTGGGTGGTCTTCTGCAAGTTGGGAGTAATTCTGATCCAATTTTCAACAGCCAGTCATGGGTAATTCTGATCTGTGGACACGAGTGTTTTGGTGATGTTTGGTGATTATAATTTTTGTGTGCTCTGGTAAATTCGCAGTTGCTTGGTGACTTATAATTACCACATAATTTTTGTCATTAACATTGTTTTGTTCTTGGAGTGCAGCTCTTGACCTCCTTCTGTTCTTGTAATACAAAATAGTATTCTTACCCTTACTCAAAAGAACCTAAACAAATTGGGTAAGCCTTATTTAAAGCCCCTAAAAGAGTGGATCAGGAAACCTATACAGAAATATATTACATATAAGAAATAGTTGGTAACACTTTCTGTAGACATTTTCTGTGTATATTCTTGAATAACACAAAAATTTTCACACCTTTTTGAGAATATACAATGTGCAAAAATTAAGCTATTCATTGTATCAAGAAGCTCATAAACTGAGGCTGGTAATTAAAATTTGAGGAAACAAATACTTGTTTTTGTTAAAACAAATGAATATTTTAGTGGATGACAAAATGGAAGTTGAGTTACTTGATTGGGATATTTTTCTATCAGTAACTGTGATGAAGGGTGGGCAAAAGGAATGTGTGATCAGAGATTGGCAAAAGCACAGAAGGGTGAACAGGTGGTCTGAGTCAGAGAAGGAAACAAGTGGAGTATTTAAACTTCTTCCTCGCAGATAAGGAGTGACAGAATTGCTTGAGAGATCAGGATACTCAGGGAGGTTGGGATTCTAGAGCATCTTAGGAAAGAATGAGACAGTAGAGACAAAATTCTGAAGTATGTCTAATATGTTGTCAATAGCAGTGTTTGGGATGAGTATTTAAGGTAATTTCTTTTAATGGCATCTGGAACTACTTCATGAGAGACAGAAAAGACAACAAATAATTGCAGATCCTACGAAATGCATGGTCTTAGATGAACCAAGGCTTACTTGAGAGTGTTAGAGAAGCAAATTCAGTGTGGGAATTTGGGAAGTAAATGATATTTTAACTTCAACTATGGTAGTTTTGTTCAACTGGCATTCTTTAATGTGACAGACTAGTGACTGGCGGCTCCTCTGCTGTTGCTGTTAAATGGTGTTTTCTCTCCTAGGGTTTGGACGTGGCAGAGGGAGAGGAACGGGGAGGTTTTCAGCCCAAGGCATGGGGTAAGAAACATGTAGAGCGCAGATTTTGGCAAGGATCAAACTCAGTGGCAATATTAATTGACGATGTTGCCACCGTATGTATGGATATTTGGATATTGCTGTATGTTTGATAAACCAACATGATGCAAAAATTGAAAAATCTCTTAGATGATGAATGGAATATCTTTGTCTTAAAGTAGTGTTTCTAACTAGGCACACCTATAGAATCCTAATGTATGTCTACTCAGCAATAATACTTGGAGAGCCATACCTGCTGTCAGTAGCAGACACATGATACCTTGGAGTCTGAAAGTTGTATCCTACATATAGTCGCAGGTCAGTTTAAGACCAGATTTATTTCAGTGTGATGTAGAACGTGCCATGAACATATATATAAAACTTCAAAGTGGAATTCTAAACTTTCTTCTGTTTTTGGGGTTTCATTTTTTAGCTGTTCGGACTCCTATGGACCTTAAAACACATTCAGAAGTTATTCAGCAGCTTAAAAGCTTGCTCTCAATTTTGTTGGAATAACTTGGTTTATAGAAATGTAATCTCCACTACATTCACTCAGTGTTTGCCTTTAATGACACTTCATGCAACATCAGTGAAGTCATGATGAACTGGAGTCTTGTTCTACTTCTCTAATAATTCTTCTTGTTCATACTTGCAGATGATGGACTGAAAAGAGGTTTTTCTTCAATAATGCTTTTTCACCTTTTACCTGCATCTGTGTATTTTGACATTGGTGTCGGCACAGCACTTTGAAATAATCTTACTGGTGCTCTGAAAGGACATGATACTGTTTACTTATCAGCCACCTGTAGAAAAACATACCAGTTGAGAGAGTCTTATCATTGTATGTATAAACCAACACTTTATAACACTGGGACGAATAGGGATTATTATTAACTGTTTTTTCAGGAATGGATTTGGTTCAGTTTCTCCACAGGAATTTTGTTTACCAATCTCTTCACTTTTTTCTTCTTCTTCTCTTTTCTTCCTTTTTATCTCTGCTCATAGAAGAATTCTTTTTTTTTTAAGCTAAAAGCTGTCAAGATAACTTATGTGGAAATCAAGATATTAGATCTAATACAGCTTCAGCTAAAAATTATGACACTTGTGCTCGTTGAATGACCCATGTGTTCTCTTCCATTTCTTAACTTTCAAAACTCTAGGACATTTAATCCTGCAGACTATACGGAGTCTTCTGCCACTGATGGCTTTGGGACAAAGTCAGAGATCTGGGAGACTGGTCAGAATGATGCAGATGATGGAACTGGTAAGATGCTTCAAGAAGTGGAAGGATTGGAATGAAGACCTGTAGCAAATTGCAGCTAAATAACCATTCTGTTAGTGTTCAATTAACTTCTGAAAATTTGTATACATCTCTTGTGACAGAGATATTAGGTGATTTTTAAGTTTAATTGCTGCTAATATGCAGAGCCTGAGTGTCTCTCTGGTGAGAATGAAGGGAGGCATTTTGCAATTCTTTTGTTATAGCACTAACAAACCCTTGAGAGACAAAGGAACGTGAAGAGTCAGTGGAAAAATGTATGTAAAGAAGTGTTTAGATATCTAAATACTGCTTAAGATCTCACCTAATGTAGTTAAGGAGATAAGTGCTCATAGAATTGATTGGTCCTCAGGCTTTAGGCAATGGGGTGTGAATATCTAAGAAGAAAAAGAAAAGAAAATGTTTAAAAGTATGAATTCACTCAGTGACACTGAGATGGCTTTGGAAGCTCCAGCTGCACAATGCAAAAATGTAAGCATGTGAGTCTCTGGATGGAGGAGAGTTCCAAGATCTGCAACTTTTGAACAAGAGAAAAATTATTAACTAAAGCACACATAGACACTTCAATTGAAGCCAAAAAGCCATTGACCTGTCTGAAGATCAAGGCAGATGTGTGTTTCTGTATGAAGTTTCAAGTGAGAAGTACACACTTCCAGCTAAAAGCAAGAGACTGACATAGTTTGGAAAGGAATGATTTGGCAGTGGTCTCATGGTGATTCAGAATGAGGAGGGTGGCCTGCTTATCTGTGATGGGAAAAATGGGATACTTGCTTCTTCCTGTGGCCTGTGACAGGAGATGAAGGCAAAGGAAATCTTGTATTAGACTGAAGAAAGTCATGTATGGTTTTTTCCTCACTTGGGAGCCACTGAATGAATTTCTTTAACTGCAGTGATGGTTGACTCTTCTGATCTCTTCATTGGTGAAGAATACTCAGGTGATTTTTCATCAACTTGTGTGTCAAGAGTGGAAGGTGATCTTGAAGGGCAGAGTGTGCTCTGTTGAGCTCTGCTGTCAGCCACTTGAGAGGCAGCTTTCTGAATGTCTTACAACCCATTTTCCACTTAACCAGAGAAGACAACAACAGGCTCAAAGTTATGGAGGCCTGTTAAGCAGCTGTCTTGTCACTCTGATTGACTTCTAAACCAGTGGAAGAGTGGCTTTGAGCATATCAGTGGTTGTTAATGGGAGCATTCTTGCCAAATATGGTATCTTTCTAAGGAATTGCTTTTTAAACTACTTGTTGCTGTAGCACAAATAGAAATACACCTTTCGTTTTCACTCAAGATATCTAATGTCTTGAAAATGCCTTTGGGGATTCTTACCTTATTGTTTGCTACCTGTCCGTGAGGAGCAGGGTTTGTTATCACAAGTTTTGTAGAGGCTATAAGGTTAACTAAGTAAAGAAAAATCTGTATGAAAGGTGCTAGGAGATTGGACCAGAGGTAGAGAATCACTGGTTTGTTACTACTGATTGCAGCTGTAAGGGTGTAGCTTATGTATGACTTGTGCTCTACTTCTGAAATGAACTTGAGTGTTCTGAGACCCTCCCTCCTAACTCAGAGTAGCCTCCAGGTGTCTCTGTTAGAGCACCTCTGTCTCCTTGCACCTCTTTAGCGTTCATTAAGGGAAGAAATCTGCCTAAGAATAAGAGTAGCTTGGTCTGGGTAAGCAGATCCCTCTAACAGCACAAATATGTCACCATGAGACGTGTGCTGCTGACAGTGGTGGAAATTGAGTTTTGATGTGTGGAATTTCTGTTCAGATGCCAAGCACATTTTTGCTGTTCACCAACAACCACACTGGATTTCAATAACACAGCTTAAGGCATGCATGGAAATTTGGAAGCATTGTAGGAAGAAAAGCTGTGAGAAGGCATTTGGGAATTTTCCCTGGCCTTGTCAGATGAATGAATGAATACCTTTGAGGTATGAATGAGTGGGTGTCATTGTGAGGGAGTTCCTCCAAAATTACTTGGTTGCTGGAAAATTAAAGCAGACTAGGTAAATGTGAATGTTCTTGTTGGGTGTTAAGTACCTTTTTGTTTCTAATCTTAATTTACTTCCAAATGAAAAAGGCACAGTAAGTGACAAAACAAAAATATCTCTCTAAAGAATGCTTTCTTTTATGGTGTTGCTTCTTTAGACAAGCCCTAGGAATATCTGAAAGAAGTCCCTGGGCCAAAAGGAATCACATCAGAAAGAGCTTTAAAATTGAATCATCAGTTTTCTCCAAGTGGGTAGCACTTTCAACCTTGTGATGGAAAGCATCTTGAGGGTTTTTAGAGGAAGCTACAGCTGGAGTGGTAATTTTAAAGCAGAAGAGACTGCTGGGAAGGAACATAGAAGCAGTGCTATGGGGGGACAGTGGCAGACAAGGTATGGGGCTGGAAGTGTATTGCATAAAGTTGATCATTAATTGACTTATTAATCCCAAATATTAATTTTCAGGTTTTTGCCCTAAATTTACAGTGCTGTTTTCTTACTTACAAATCAATGACCCCGTTAAATTCCCATTGGGGAGCTAACTAAAGTTTTGAATGCGTGAACTACATGTGAATGGAAAACTATAAAGCTTGCAGTGGGCTTTATAAATGTCAGGTAAGAGTTTTTAGAGGAAGGACAGGAAGGAAGTCCCTCTCTTTATTCTTTGTTACCCAGTCCCATTTCTTATTTCATCTTGAAAGAAGGTAAACAATATTAACTCACGCTATTACTTGCAAAACTAGTGTCTTTCATCTGCAGTTACATTAAAGAGGAGTAATGGGTAACTGCCTATAGAAATAAGAGATCTTTGCTTATCAAAATATTTTCTGAAGACATCATACAAATCTTTGTGACATTCTGAGTTTACTAAGTATTTGTTCCTTTAGCCAGTGCTGGGGAAATTAATATTTTCATTAAAAATAAATACAGTATTTGTTTCCAAAATGTAGTTTCTGTCATCTGTACTCTGAAACTGCTCTAGAACCACACGCCCTGAATTGTTGCAGGTGCAAAGGCCTGACAATAACTTGAATAGTGTTTCTAGCTGCACCGTTGTATAATCCAGTAGAAAAGCTAGCTGGTTCTGTGAAGGCAAAATTTAGTGTTGGTTGAAATATAGACCGAAAGGCAAGTCTTTAATAGTTCATAACATTTAAGTATTATTGTATTCCAAATAATACAGCGTCTTTCTGCATCGTAATTTATATAATGTACAGATGAAAGGCAAAGAGAAGGGACAGATAAAGAGAAACAAAATTACCAATCCTCCTCCAAAAGGAAATAAACTTGAGCAGCATGATTCCTCTCCTACCTTTTTTGTTGTGTACCATGCAGTGGGAGAAAATGAGTGCAAATCACAGCAGTTCTTATACATAAATTATATTGGAGGTGCTCACTTCTCAAAGTTGATTGTAAAATGGCCTTGGGTTCCGGTAATTTACTCAACATCTCTTTGATAGGGTTTCATAGGTTTCATGGAAAAACTTCTTTTGTTACCTTAGTTATAAACAGCTTTAAATTTCTCTGAAACTGAAGCATTACAAGAAATAAAAAATAAATTATAGAGTAACTTTCAAGAGGAACAGTTGTGTTGGAACAACCAAGGAAGTTGGTGTTTGGGTTTTTGTTTTTTTGGGGTTTTATGTTTGGTTTTTTTCAATATCTGCTGTAAAAGTCAGAAGGAACATTTTAAGGAAATCTTTAAGTCTTTCTAGAAGGCAAATCCAACAGGAAAGAACTAGTACATAAGTTGGGCATAGACTAAGTTAAGTTTATTTTGGGGTTAATATCAATGATTATTCAAATAAAGGGTAAAAAATAAGTAGTGTGACAGGAAGAGAATTGGAGGAACATGGCTGAAGACTCATCAAAAAATATGTATTCTATTTTTATTGGCTTGTCAACTTTCTAAAACTGAACTTGTTACAAAGAGAAAGAGGAAAGGGTCACAAATAACCATCTAGGTTGAAGCTTGTATGACAAGGATCCTTGAAAATGCAAAGCATACTTTTGATGGAAAAGAGAACTCTTGAATTGTGTTGCTTTGCAAAGCTTGGGGGAAAGATTGGGAAGAGGATGCATGAGTTGCAATAAGGCCAAGGTGGATTTTGGATTAAAAAGAAATTAATGCACCTGTGGCAAGATCTGACTTAGAAATTCCATCAATAGGAGGAAGGCATTTGAAAACTGGATTTAGTGCAGAGAAGAGTACTGAAAAAACTGAGAGTGGAAGGATTGAATTGGGAAGGAAGAGAGTTAGTAAATGACAGTAGTGAACTTGGCAGCTTGGGTAAACTAATAAAAGGATGAAAGGCTGTACACAGCATTTAAAAGAGTAAACCCTCAGAACTAGTTTTATCAGAGGGAACAACAGATAATTGTTTAAATTGGATGTCAGAAAAACATCACAAGTATTATTCCAAGTAAGTTTGGTCTCCCAAAGGTGGTGCAGTCTGACCTATTACTCAAGAGTCTGACTTGATGTATCTGAGTTCTTTTAGTGTTTATTTTATCAGACTCCAAGCTCTGTTTTAGTGTTCTGGTGTCAGTGCAAGGCTTGTTTTCTGGAGAAAAACAGCTTCTCATTGGGCTTTTTCCTCCTTTTCAAAGTTTCTGTTGAAATGTGTGGATTACTCTAGAAATTTGAGGCATTGTAGTAGTTTTGTTACAAGGCATGGTTATTCATAAAAACATCAGCCCTGATTGGGGGACCTTTACTAAATTGTGAGCATAAGATGTTTCAGGCAACTCTACATTGCTCCACAGAGCCCACACAGAGCGGATGTTACTTTGCTCAGGACCTGCCAAATAATTTTGGATTCCAAGGTATAGTCCCCCTCTCTTCCCACCACTGTGTGTAACCTTCATGGTCAGCCCATTTGCCTGAACTGGCACTGCTTGACCCTCCTCTGCCAAAACCTCCTCTGGTGTTGTGGGGTACAAGAGGAAGCACCAATGCAGTGCTGGCATTGGTACCTGGTGGCTTTGATGCTGTCTTTGGGGCACTTGTTTCTGGATTAATGCATCTCAGATAGTTCCTGGTTAAGTGAAAGGAGATGATTGAAGCAGTAGTCCTTTTGCTTTTGTACTTGATCCAAGGTGTTGGCAGCACTGCCTTTGGTGCTGGTGTTTTCTTTGCTCTTGGTTGCACAGTTTACACAAAGGTTCTGGTTGTTGCTGGGATAACCTTCCCTGTACTGCTGCTGGTCAAGGCCTTCAGTCTGTTTATTGCTCTTGCAGCATTTCTGTACCTGCTGTTTCCTACAGAAGGGGTTGGGTTTTTGCATTCATAGGATTGTTTTCTGTAGTTTTCCTATTTCTGCATGCTGCACTGTCCTCCAGGGTTTGCCAAATCCACTCTGCCACAAGTTATAGGAAGTGTTTTTTAGATACAGTGGAAATTTAAAGACTGTCCTGCTACTGTTGTAAGAATTGTAAGAATGTTCTAAAATAAATTGCTCTCTCAGGGTATGGAATTGGAGTTGTTCTACTCTGAGGAATGAGTTAACAGTTTGGAAAGTAGCTTCCACAGGCATAGCTTGAGTCTTGAAATTGAATGTGTTGAAAGCAGGATTATGGGTATTGGAGCAGGTATTGTGGTTGTGTTTTGTTCTGTATGAATTTGTGCATGAAACTAGGGGATACTGCAGGAGGGTTGAGTAACCTCTTACTCTCACTGGACCCATAGGAGGAAGTTCTTCCAATGTTTGGAATTAATCTCTGGGTGCAGATGTGCGTCCATGCTAATTAAGTCCAGTACCATAGTGGTTAAGAAATTCCTGAAATCAGAATTTAAGTCCAGGGGGGGATGGAGGAGTGGTGGTGTTTCCCTCCCAAAATTTTAATTCTGCAGACCAGTTTCTTAGAGCTTCCAACCATGTTTTCAAATACGTCTCCAGTCTCCATTTCCTTGCTTTATGTTTCACTGATAATGAAAACAAGACTGCTTGTAAACCGGAAGGATTGAAACACAGTGTTGTGCCTTTAACTTGCATCTGTTCTCTTTCTTTCTTTTTTCCCAATTATAATAGGAGCATGGAAAAACTCAATAGAAGAATGGACAGCAGAAGACTGGAATGAAGATGTAAGTGCAGCTAGTTGGATATACTGATTGATTATTTATTCTTTTCAGAGTTTGTGTTGTGTTCAAAAACTAAGTATTTGAAGTAACCCATTATTTCAGGTTTATTTTCAGAAGAGTGAAAATAAGTCATCCCTTTTGCCTCTTCCTGCAAGGTGTAATGTCAGTTATTCCTGGAAATGTATGAATGTTTTCATGTAACTATATGGAAACTCCATCCTTACCTAATGACAGGGATATATCTTTTGAGAGAATTGAAAGAAACTCTTAAATTCCTAGTTTTTGTGTATCAATTCATGTCATCAACAGCTGACATAATTTAAACCTGTCCTCTGTTTCTTCAGTATGTGCTGAAGAATGTATGAAATGTATGGGCTTTTCTCACCCCTGTTTGATGCTGGTACAATACAGCATTTGTAATATGGGAGAGGTGTTGAGCAATGCTGACCAGGGATAGAATTCGTTTTAAATAGTTACTAGAGCTGAATAATTTGCAAATGAATTTTGAAATCTCCAGCCCAATGTTAATTTTTATTAATTTTGGTTCCTGGAAAAATCCCTATGACCTAGCAGAAAGTTGTCTGCTAATATTCAGAAAGACTGAATGAATTGTCAAGGTGCAGATACATTAGCCCAAAATGTGCGCAAAAAATAAAAAGGGGAAAAATATGTTATCTTTTGTTCTAAAATAGTCTAAAAATATGTATATTTTTATTCCTAAAAATAATTGCAAAACATCACAAAACATATTAGTGTATTGAAATCTTTGCAAATTTTGGGAAATCTGTTACAGAAGGACCCTATTGAATGTGGGCTTTTGTAGGAGGGCTATTAGTCTGCCCGGTCCAGTGCCACATGCCATCTAGTGCCTCAGTTAATGACTGTGAAGTAAAACTAAAATAATTGCTTAATAAAATATTAGTGAAATACAAAAAGAATTGGAATAGCATTTGAAAGTAAGTCAGTCATGTGGTGAGATTTGGACCTCTGCTAGATTTGACCTGTTCCAATGAAAAATACTTTAATATAGCCAAGTATCCATTTGTTTTATAGAAATAAAGACACACCTTCAGAACAAAGGCCTGGTGTCTGGGAAACGGCAACGCAAAAGTTTTCAGGACTGCAGTGGATGGTGAAAAAAGCTCAGCATGAACTGATGCTGTATCAAAAAAGCTCCTATTGTAGTCTTTTTGCCTATTGGCACTCTTCCCCATCTCTTAGTCATTCTTGGGTTATGTTTCTGTATGTAGATGCTCCTGAGCTTGATCCTTAAGCATCAAATCCAATTTCTCATTGCTTTTAGAGGTGAAAAAATGTGTATAACAGATGAAAATATCTGATCAAAGATCCTTGAGAAGGGAGATTTCAGTTTAGGGAGTCTGAAAGGGTTAGTTTAGCAGAGTGGTATGAACCTGTGTCTGCAAAATGGATCCATGCATTTAAGTGTGTAACAAACAGTTCTACTGGCATGACTATTGATTAGAAGAATCCAGTAAACTGATATATTTGCTGTCTGCAGGGAAAGGTGTTTTTCTGAAGAATATTTCTGTTTAAATGTGATGTTCTCTAGTCAGATTCAAGTTATGAGCAAGTGAGTGAAATTTAACATTGTTTGACCCAAGAAGAATTAGGTCTTTGTGACCTAATAGTCCTGTCTGGTCCTTATCTTCTGCAGTGAGTATTGAACAAGTATAATAGGTTGTCAAGGCGCTATTAAATAGAATGGAAACTGCTTGCAGTGGAAGTAGGAGCTTGTATTTTGTTACAGGGATATTCAAGGTGTGAACAATAAAGGGCTAGACAAATATTGAGGTACTTTAGATGGCTCTGCATTTTGCTCTTAAAACTGTGATTATGCTTTCATAGCTAAAGAAACTAAAATTTAACTACAGAAACTGTTCCAAATGAGAGAAATAGAATAAATACAAACTGCTGGAAAGTGGGTGATGGCAAACATTTTCTGTGTAGTGTTGGTAGTACTAGTTTTTATTTGACACCACAGCAACACTTTATTTTTATAAAAAAGGAAAGAAAAAAAAGAGGGTATTTTGGTGGAAGTGGTTTCTTTACCAGGAAACAGCATGAGAAGTTGTTTTAATTTCTTTACATTCACTACATCATACCAAAACAGTAATAAGCTTTCTTTTTTATTTCTGATTTGTGGATGTTGAGTTTCTTTGAGGATGCCAGAGTCTATTTTCCTCTTCTTCTTACCGTTCCTGTACTCCTTTAGGGCTTGATAGGTAGTTGTCAAGTGCGTTGTCTGTTTGGTGATTGGAGAATGATTTTACCATAGGAACAGGAGCTGGAAAGCACGGGCATTTCACTGCAGATGGAGGACATACCCCTGTGAGGCCAACACCGACAAATGGCTCACAACCATTCGTTCAGTTCTGGGAAAATGCCTCAGTGAAAGATTTGTGAGTGTAGTGTGCAGCGAGCATAATGGCTTGATTGGGAGCTGCAAATACTACTTCTGAGAAATACTAAATATATCTGTGTAATAAAACTTTTCAGCTGCTGCAGCACGAAACGTGTTTTGATGAATGTGGTAATCTCTGCAGAGTCCTGAATTAAGTGCTTGATTGGACCTTGTGGCAGTGAGTTTGCCACAGGGTGTAGTGTAAACCTCAATATAACTGAGCTGTTAGCTGGAGACTTTTGTTTGCATGCTGGTTCATCTGTAGAGAGCATTTACTCTCTCACACATCAAGCATGCATTTGTGCTGTCACAAACATCCCCAGTCTCCTTAATTTGCTTAATTTTTGGAGTTCATAAGTGTTTGTCCATGGTTAGTTTTTTCCTGGTTACCCAAGTGTGAGAAGCTGTTGACATTACAAAGAATTTAATATTTAATCAAGAGATTGCAGAGCATAGAGTGCTGCTTGTGTCATTAGCTGCCTCCCTGTGCTATGTGCTATGCAGGAATATCATAATACCCCAGAAAGTACAGTACACATTGCTCTAAAATAAAACACATGGTGGGGAAAGTGCTGAACAATAGAGGAACAGCCTTTTTAACTGAAATGTGCTTAAGTGGAATGTTCTTTCTTTGTTTTGGTCAGTACATGGAGTTGTGGGCTGTCAACATTAATCTTGGGACAAGTGATCCAGAAATGAGGGATTAAAGTGCATTGTGTTGGCAGCAAGGGAAGGGCAAGAAACGGAGGGATGAACTGTGGTAGTACCGATTTCTTCATGGCCTGGTGTGCTCCTTTTAAGAGGGTTCTGGGAGTGTATGTGAAATATCTCTGCTCTCCCGCTGAGTGGTCATTTGCTCCCAGTCAGCCCTTCTGTGCCCTTCTGAAATCAACAGTGTTTCATAGGAGACCCCTCTCATATGTCCATGTTCATGGATACACATGCTCTCGGTGGATGATACACATCCTGTGGGATGGCATATGAAATTGGCTCATGTCTGTGATGTCCTTTGAACTGTGCTGCTAGCAATGCATGCAATTAAAAATGCATCATTTCCTAGAAGAGCTGTATCAAATGGCACATTCTAAAGGTGTTCTTTGAATGGGTCTGTTATTCTTCAGTCAAAGACAATCCTACCAGAGGAACTAAGGGTGATTTTGTGAAAATTTAATTTAAAATAAAAATACTGTACATGCATATCTCTGTCTTGCTAAACCTAACCTGTACCGGTTTAAGACCTATTCTGGTTTGCAAGTACTCCTGTCAATAGAAACAGATTAGCCCTAGGAAGATGTAGCTGTTCAACTACTACTTTTTAAACAAGAAAAATTATTTAAAAATCTAACCACACAGCAAAAAACCAACCCCTTCTTTCCCCCAAAGTCTCAACCAGCTTCAGTTCCCCAGGTGCCTTCACAAGTATCTCTCTGTATTGTAACAGCATGGTGAAAACAGTGCAGCTTTCTACTGTGGGTGGTCTGACTTGTTATGTGAGTATGGGCATGGCCCTCATTTTATTACTGTTTCCAAGCTCCTGTTCTCAGAGCGCTCAGTTAAAGACCTTATTGCCTCTCCTAACAGACCTGCCAAGAAAGAACCATGAGTGCTGGTTCACTGTACTTACCTGCCTCTGCTGGTGGTGAGGGCTGAAATGTCAGGTGCAAGGATACATGGAATGAGTGGGAGCAGTGCAATATGTTACATTGTGCAACAAGATTTATCAGAGGTGCTTTTTTGTGTCTGCACATTGATGGTAGAATAGCTGTCCCATTAATTGCTTTCTACTGGTGTATTTCAGTGAAACTGTTTCCCAAGCTGATGTAGTTGCATTGGTATGCTGTTATACACTGGTGCCTGTTTTCAGTAGGTCAAATTTCCTAACCCAACCCTCTGATTAAACAGTTACTTGATTCTGTGGAGGAGATTTTACTGAAGTTTGACTACATGTTTTTGTCTTTTTAAGCAGAGCTTCAGAGTAGCCATTTGTAATGATAGTTTGACTTTACTTTTATCTTGAAAGTGCATGACCAAAATGGAATTTCTGCAGATGTTGCAGGAGGGAAGTGTGAGCATGTAAAATTGTTCGCCCATCTCTTTTTCAGCTTTCTGAAACAAAAGTCTTCACTGCATCTTCTGTTCCAGCTGAAAATCATGTGACTCCTGGGCAAAGGTAAGCTCTTCTTACATGTTTTCCCTATACTTTAAAAACCTTCTCCTTGTCAGAGATTGGTTGAACTCATCTCAAAACTGAAAAAGCCTTGCTTGCAAATTGTTGTTTCTGTGAGTTCCTGAGTTAAGGTATTTTTGACTGTGAAAGTGGAGACAAATTTACCAAATGTGTGAGCATAACACATCTTCTGCATCAGGACTTCTTAAAGGCAGGAAGAAAAGTAGCTGGGAAGAAAAAATTTTTTGCCGTTCAAAAGGAAGTTCTGGCTTTAGTGTCCAGAAAATGGAAAGCCTGCCTTCGTAGATGCAGAAAGTTTTCAGAATATAGTGCTTTGACAAATGTGTTAAATGAAAGCTTGCACTGGCAAAATGGTGAATTCCCTGGTAAATATCACGGTTACAAGCATTTACTGATGATAGAGGGTTAAGATCCAGAACCAAAAATATGTCAGTTGCTGTCTTCCTTTGCTTGCCTTTGTCTTTGAATGCTGTGAAATCAGCTGCCTCCATTAGTGTCCTGTTCCTGGAGAGCACGTTAGAATTTAGTGATGAGGACTTCGGTAGTTGGACAGCACGAGATCTCAAAACTAAATAAGCTAATGGAGTCTATCCCAAATGTCCTGATTGTGGTATACTGCAGCAAAGTTTTCTGTATAATATGGATATGATGTGATATGATGAGGCATGGTGTTAGGTTGTATATAGTTTATATTTCTTTCTTTCTTAAAAGTAATATATTCATATGCTTTCTGTTCTGTTCTTCCAGTGGATGTCCCTCAAATGATGTTAGAAAATGTTATAGTTCTTCCACTCAGATTGGGGTGGGATTTTTGTTTGTTACTTACTAGCAAAAAACTCTCTTCTCTCTCTTTTGTATGACAGACAAAAAACATTTGAAAAGACTGCTAATCAGTAGTAATTCTGTTTCTGGGATGGCAGCTTTAGTATTGCTAGTACTTTCGTTGGTATCAGTCAGGTTTAATCACTGTGTTCATTCCAGACAAATTTCACTTTGTCTTACAGCATTGATTTGGTGACACTGCTTCAAAAGCCGGTGACATCTACCCAAGAGACAGAAGCCAACTCATATGAGTCTCCCCAGCAGCAGACCTTTGGCCAAGCCTTAGTATTCACAAATTCTCAGCATAGCACCCAGATGGCATCAGGAACAGGCAGCTCCAGTGCTGTAAACTCCTATTCTCCTCAAAGTCTGGTAAACTTATGTTATGCTTTCTAAATGTTTTGTTTTCTAAATGTTGTTCATGAATAAATATTTCAGGTTAAGCAACTTCTCCAGTGCTGGTCATTTCATGAGGTGTTCTGATACATGTTGAAAAAGCTGAAAATATATTTGAGTATCATTTGTTCCTTTCAACCCTGTCCCCCTCAAAAAAAAAAAAAAAAATTACTTTTTTCATTTTGCTAATTAGTTACTTCTGGGTTTACATGAAGCAGTTGTATTAATTTTTGATTAGAGAGCAGATGTGCTCATTGCTTGCTGATGTAGGATAAAATAATTTGTTGATAGTTAATAGTTCTAGGCCAGAAAACTGATGTTACTTCCATGCACATACTCAACTGCTTCTTGTGGAAGCATGCCTATTTCTGAGTCAGTTTTGAAGGTGTGAGATGAAGTGTTTATTCTCTAAAAATCAGTCCAACTATTAGTAAATCTATGATATTTTAAGATGCATGGGTTCAAATAAGTATTATTGTGATTACAGTAGTGGAAATTTTTACTGGTCATTTGTTAGTAATCTGGGTCTGAAAAGATTTTACTTGCTGTCAGATAGCAGGTGTAGACATTGACCCTATGATTATGTTCAATTATTAGTTAAAATATTAACTCCACTCCTTCCCCTCTTCTTTTTCTTTTGGTAGTCGGCAGTTCTTTGTTCTGGCTTTGGAGAGCTCAGATCCTCTAAATTGGCAAACTCTACTGGTTCCCAAATCTTGGACCAATTGAAATCACCAGGATTGGGTCAGTTTACATCTCACCAAACCAATAGCAGTTCTGCCACCACTAGCACAGTTGCTGCGTCATCCTGGGATCTAAAACCACCTAATACTCAGTCCTCAGTCCTCAGTCAGTTTGGTAAGTGCTTTGACACAGCTTCTTCTCTTTCTCTCTATATTAGTCAGTAAGATTTCTTAATGCCAATGATAGTGTAAAATACTTTAATGAAAGACTTTTTCTAAAAAATTTAATCCTAGTAATACAGTTACTTAAAACATTTTAAGTGTTACGCTTTGCTGGTAATAGACATCAAAAGTATATCATAAGCTAAGTTTTGTTAAGCTTAAACCTATAAATGTCATTACATCTTTAAAGTTATTGAGCCTCCCAGGACATGACATCTTTGATTTAGTGTGCTTGAATATTTACACAACTTTATTGGTGACTGTTTTTCAACAAGTACTGGAAAATACTTTCATTGCACCTATGCTGCTTTTAGCTGAGTGTAAAGTTATGTAGTTGTATTTTTGGGGTTTTTTTCCCATATTTTTTCTTCTAATCATTACATGATTTTTGAATGAGTACTATATAATTTCTTCATAATTCACATCATGCCTTAGTGTTCTTTCCATAGTGTGCTGTAAATGATTGAAGTTACTTGGTTTGTATATTTATAATTGTATGAATTTTTCATGTATTGAGTAAAATTAGCAACAACATTGAGAATGGCAGAAACTTATTTTCTGCAGAGTTTTTCCTACAGTATTCTCACTGTGAAGAGGATAGCTGTCGTGTCTTTTATATGTATGTATATGTCTATGTGTAAATAAGGAGCCATTGGTAGCAATTACTATATTTGACATGCAGAAATTCTAAGAAAAAAATTAAGTACATTTGAATGCATTCTAATGGACTTCACCTATTGAATAAAATCCCCTTCACACTGGAAATGCTGGAAGTCTCTGTGGTTGTTGACCAGTGCTTTAGGTCACTTCATGGCTTTCAGCATCTGAAAGGGAAGACTCGGGGAGAAAACCTGTTCATGTCTGGCATAATTTTGACTCTCGGCTGTTATGAGATAGTAGAAGACTTTCTGTGGTTTTTTAAATCTTCTTTGCAGGGGAAGGGAATCCTAAATCATAATACCTCTAAATTGCACCAACTCTTTACCCTTTGGAAGTAATCATGTTATATCAGTGGTATAACAGTTTATAAATATATAACAGATTACAACAGTTATTTGCAGTGAAACTTCAAGTGTTTGATTAAAATAGCCCATAACTGTTTTTGAGGACTTGTGTGTGATAATATTGTGACTGTGTAGATAGATTTTCATATTTTTGGAAAAAACTAAATAATGCTTGGCCACAGCTGTTTATTTCAAGTAGAAGATGTATCAACTGATGTCTTTATTAGTGTTAGAGTGGTAATGATCCATGTGAAACCCCTCTGATGTCTGAAAAGACTTGCAAATGCTGTAGAATCTTAACTATTAAGCATCAGCCAGATGCTTGCATAAAGAATGGAGCTTGAAGAGCAGAGTTCAATGCTTTAATTTTGGTATTTCTTTTTCCCATCACTGACCAGACTTTAAGTCCCAGCCTGAGCCATCTCCAGTTCTGAGCCAGCTGACACAGCGACAACAGCAAATGCAGGTGGTTCCTGTTCCTCCTCCTGGGCTGGAGTCATCCTCCTCCCAGATAAAACTACAAGAGCCATCACCAGTAGACACCTCCACAGCTGTTAGCAAAATACTACAGCTCCCCACTATCTCTATGGATAACCAGGCAGTGACTGTTCATCAAACCCAGCAGAAACAGATAAAACCACCAAAAAGGAGGATAACTCCAGCATCCAAGGTGGGTAGTTGAGTGGTGGCTTGTCAAAACTTGTGTCAGCAGTGGCATAGCCAGCAGGAGCAGGGCAGGATTGTCCCCCTGTACTGGGCACTGGTGAGGCTGCGCCTTGAATCCTGGGTCCAGTTCTGCATCCCTCACACAAGGAAGATGTTGAAGGGCTGGAGCATGTCCAGAGAAGGGAACAGAGCTGGGGATGGTCTGGAGCACAGGTCTGAGGACCAGCTGAGGGATTTACAGGGGCTCAGCCTGGAGAAAAGGGGGCTCAGGGAAAGCCTGCTCACTCTCTAGAATGGTGGAGATAGGTCTCTTCTCCCAGGTAACAAGTGACAAGACAAGAGGGAACAGCCTGTAGTTGCACTAGGGAAGGTTTAGATTGGATATTAGGAAAAATGTCATCATGAGGACCAGGCTGCCCACGTAAGTGATGAAGTTACCATCCCTGTAACTGTTTAAAAGATGTGAAGACATGGTGCTTAGAGACATGGTTTGGTAGTGCTGTCTTTAACAGTTGGACTTGATCTTAATGTTCTTGTTCAACCTAAATGATTCTGTTATTTGATTTGCTACATGTTTTATATAAATTGCTATGGAGAAGGAGACCAAAGACCTTGGTGTATTTCTTATTTATGAAGCACAAAATACTAAGCTGGATAGTTACTATAATATTACTATAATATAATATATACTCCATAATATTGTGGTGATACATTTTACAAGTACGTGGCTGGTTGCTCTGTATGGAAAATGGCTGTTGCTGAGTGGTTTTCAGGTTGACTTAGTAGCCACAATATGAATATTGGTGGAGTGGGGAGGGATGTACACAGATTATACTTCGTTATTGTGGAATAGTATGGTTTACTCCTTCAGCTCCAGATGAGAGCAGAATCAGTGATTAATTTCATGTTGCAGATGCATGCAAAGGAATTACGATTTATTTTTTTTTTCTTCCTTTAAGATTCCTGCCTCTGCTGTGGAGATGCCTGGATCAGCAGACATGACAGGGTTAAATGTTCAGTTTGGAGCTCTTGAGTTTGGATCAGAGCCTACACTCCCAGAGTTTGGATCAACTTCAAGCAGTGAGAATACCAGCCAGGCGACCAACAATAGCTTATATTCAAAATCTGTGAAGTATGTGTGAGTTGACCTCCTGCATTCTCAGGTGTTCCTGAAGGGGCTCAAGTTTGTGCCAAAAACATCAAGACAGGGTTACAATGTAATGAGAGGGGAAAATATGATGACTTGTTTTCTGTGGACTGTATCTTAAATGATAAATTTCTTCTCTAATGATAATCAAAATCTCCCTGGATGGATAGATGCAAAGCTGGAGATTACATGAATATATATAACCTTTTAATAAGCTGTCCTTTATAGAATTTCTCATGTTAAATTGCCCTGATTTTCAAGGGTTTTGGGGGTTTCCTCTTCACTTCCCATGTTTTCTCCATTTGGTCCAGTAGAGCTGACCTTTGTACCATATATGTGTGTTAGTAGATGGGCACCAGATTACAGATCTGATGCTCTTACAGGGTGAGAAAATGAGAAAAGGAGCTAGGCTTTTTGTATGTAAAAGCTCTTACTGAAATGCTAAAACAGCCAATGATAAATGCCAGTGTACCAGTAAACCATTTTTAATTCCTTACTCATTGAAAAATCAGCATCATTAAAAAGCTTCCTGAAGTTAATTCAGAAATATTAATAAAAGTGAACTTTCACATAACTTTTAGTTTATACATGATATTTAAACTATTTGGAAAATAAAACATTCCTGCATATTTTAAAGTAATTTTCAGCTCTTTGCATAATTCATTCTGTAACTTTAGAATTCTATTGTAAAAAGATATTCATCAAATACCAGACTTGAGCAATTCAGCTTGTTTAAAAAAGAAAGATTATGATCATTAATTTACCCTTGGAAAAGGTAGAAATAAAATGAAAAGTGCTTGTGTGTTAATTTGTGTCTTGGTTGGGCTGGAATGAGGAAGGTGAATGGTGCTTAGTGCAGCTGATGTTTTGAAGCAGTGATTAGTGAGGACCAAAGCAATATTAGAATTTTATTTTGCGTGCTTAGATTTTCTAATATATATATAGTGTCGATTTTTCTGTGTGTTTAAGGTAGTTCTAGATAGCTATATAGGAGCTGATGTTTTCATGAAGATATTTGAAATACTTACCAGATGATAAATAATTCTTTTTTCCAGTGATCCTTTGAATACCTCTTTGCCAAAATCCAATACAGTACAGGACTCCACCTACACAACCTCTGTCATCAGCTCTTCCAGTCTGACCTGCTCATCCCAGAGCACTAGCCCCATAACAACTTCCTCCTATGACCAGACTTCTGTGCATAGCAGGATAGCGTACCAAAGCTCCATGGCTCCGTCTGAACCAGCCCCTGTTGCAGTTACGGTGAGTTCGTTACAGAAACAGGACCGTGAAAAGGGGGAATATTCTTACCAGTGTTAGGTTTGTATTCCCCTGATACATTAATCCTTTAAGCAAGCCAAGTGGTATTTTGATTGCCAAGCCCACCCTCTTACTTGTTTTTGCTTTTCCTGATGTGTAGTCATTTTTGGTAACACTGTATTTGGGATATAAGAGCCTCTGCTTTTATGGGTTTTGACTTATTAAATTGTTGTTTGACCTTTTTTAGAAATACTTAAAAATACTTTAAAAAATAAAAAAAAAATACTTTAAAAATACTTAAAAATTCTACTTGAATTTCCTTCCCTGAAGCTAAGGAACTGTCTCTGTATGTAAATATTAGTTATGGTATTTTGCCATAACTTGACAGTTTCTATACAAAGGTATATTATTTATTAATAATATAATTAATTTATATGGCACCTAGCAAATGGGTCCCAAATTTTTTTGGCCCCTTCAGCATTACTTTTCTGTTGTATTTAAACACTAGTGCGAATTAGTTTCATGTGTTATTTTAATAAGCATAAGGAGAGGTCTAATATAGGACAAGAAATCTCTTTGGCAATTCAGACACACCTGCTCTCTTTGTAGATGGAATGTAGGTTTGTTGTAAAAAAACTGAGTTTATTAAATGTTTTAGGAACTTGTGAGAGTTTGTAAGTTTATTTACTTCTGGCCTTTGTTACGTGTTGGCTCAGTCACACTTGTCTTCTGCACTAGCTCGTATGTACTGGTGAGGATCAAGCATAGACTATCCACTTCTGTACTCCAGCGTTATCCAAAAAACATCTGGTGCTTCTCAAGTCTTATCTTTCAATGGAAAAAAATTGGCGTCTCTGTGTAACTTGGATAGTTAAAATTGTGAGTTACATTAGATCAAAAGCACAACCATTTCCTATATGTTAATGCAATTCCTTCTTTCATATTGATGTGAACCTGAAGTTTATGTTATATACAGTACATGGGAAGGTCTGCTGCTGATGGGTGTATTATGGGAAATATATGGGTTTCTCTATATTCAGGACACCTTGCACTTGAGACAACTTTATGATGTAGTTTTTTTATAGGCAGTAAAAATTTAATTTTCTGCCTTGTTGTTCAATTTAGTATGAATATAGAATTTGCATGAAGCATGTTCGATGTGTGATTCAGTCTCAGCATTTAATATACCTCTAAGATGATTTTTTAATTAATTTCTTCTTTGTTTACAGAATGGGCACAGTGGTGTTAGGACACAGGCAACACTTGACAGTAAGTTTTCAAAGCTTGGTTGAGCACAGGACTTTCTGTTCATTCTTTGCTTCTTTCTGTGCACACAAGCGTAGCAGTGACATTGGGTTCAAGATTTTATATTGTTCTTCATGGCTAATTTATGGCTGACCATTTGACTTTGTGTTTGCATAAAATGCTGCTTGCTTCTTGACTACAATTGAAATATGACAGCAGGTCTATTAAATCTACAAACCTAAACAGCCTTAGAATTAGGGAAGCTGCTTTGATGCTGGTTCTCCTTTTGAATTTACCTGCCAAAAATTATTTAATATAAAACAAAAATGCAAAATTAAAAATAAATATGAAATTTTTTAGCAGTTCTTTGAGTTGTGAGTTGGGAAGCTGCAAATAGTATTTAGCTGTAATGAAACAAAATCACATTCTTTGAGTGCACCTCTCACTAGATACAGTTCTGTCTCTGCCCTCTTAGAAGCCTGTGGGGAATAAAGGTGAGGGACATGTTCCTTCTTCTGAGTTTCTTGATACCTTGCAAACAATACCCCAGTATTAACTCTGGTATATGTGTTAGTTACTTCATCTTGGTCTGTTTCCAATGTTGCATGGACCTGTAGCAGGGCTGCAGCTCTCTACTTGGGAGTTAAAATAATTATAGTATTCACTTTTCTGATCTTTGTTCTGCTCTGTGGAAGTTTTCAGGGACAGTGGGGTGAATTAATATCTTAATATCTTCCAACACCTCAATTTTAGGTCTAACCTCCTCTCCTCTTAAACATCTCTTCAGGTAGGCCATTAGTGGGACAGTGAAAAGTTGAATTTAAAGGAGCAGGAGTGTATGCGCTCCAAGAGTTACTATGTAAAAGATGGACCTATACTAAGACAGCTTTTCACCATGAAAACTTTTACAGAATTAATAAACAATTTATAAAATTCACTGTAGAACCTTTTTTTCTACAGAAAATAAAGATCTGAGAATTCCTAATACTTTTGTATTCTGTAATAGATTTATTAGTCTCTTTTCCTATGCCAGTTCTCCTTTGAGAGCATTTCTGTTTTCTTCTTCCATTGAGTCTATTTTATTCATCCAAATTATTTTGAATTTGTCTTAACTTTTGTAAGTACATTTTCCCTTCTGTATGTGCTATGGTGTTAGTTGTTAATCTCTCTTCTTTGCTGTTTTTCTTTAATACCCACATCTTGAGCTTTCTAAATCCTTAATTCTAAGTACAGCTGATGTGTTTTACTTCTGACCATCCTACTTGTCTCCTGGTCTTCTTTGTCTTGCACATTGCATTCAGGCATCTTGTAGGGGATCTTAAGATGGTGATTTTTGTCCCAGTTGAGGACATCTACTTTTACTTCAAGATGAGAATCCTGCTCTTATGTCAAGAGTTTTAAATGCTATTTACTCCTTTTTTATATGAGTTTCACCAGGAGTTATTAGGTGATATAGTTGCTGCCTTCGTAACCATGTTTGTCACTTGGATTTTCTTCTCTAAGAGGTCATACTTATTACCAAAGCTAGGACCTCTTGATTGCTGTTTGCATTGCAAACCAACAACCTGACTTTAGTCATTTAAGTAGGAAATCAAAGTGAATAAACTCTAATACATAACTTCCAAGTGTGTATTTGATTTTTGTTTAGTGACCAGTCTAAAAGTGTCTTCACATATCTTACGAGTTAGTGATGATCCACTGGGTAGTGGTCCCTGTTGTAGTGTGGGAACATGGCCCAGCAGAAGGTAGGGCTCAACTATTTTCCAAGTTTTATTGGTGTGTGTCTCTAATTCTTTGTTATTTTTGTAGGAGAAGAAATAAGTGAAACAGCTGGGAATCATGTTGGGCAGTAGAGTTTTTATGCATCTTATTACAGTATAGTGATTCTATAAACAAGTTTTAATATGTGAAGCCTAGAAAGTGTAAGATAAAACCTAACACTTTTTATTATCTGAGTAAAGTGAGTCAATATTTGACAGCTCCTTAGCCATAAAAAATGCTTAATGCTGTGCTCAGTTCTGGTGTTTCATTGTAGCTTTTTTCATTCTACTGCAATAGACTTTTGACTGAATATACCAAAATGATAAGTTGTTATCTACCCCTGTACTCCAGCAATCTCAGTCAGATCACCAAAGGTGCTGTGTGGGATGGAATGAAGAAACAGAGCTGTAGGTGAAACTAGATTTGTACAGTGCCTTGAAAAGGCAGGAATGACTTGTGTATGCTGAACCAAAAGCAAGGAATTTTAAAATTACTTGAAAGCCTAAATTAGTAATCCAGATAGTTGCAGGTGATGTGCTGAAGATAGTAGTTTACTATGTGTGTAGCAGTGATAACTGTAAATTTATTATAAGTAGAGAGCTTAAAGGGAAAAAAATGGTAGTTCTGTTGTGTTTGAATTTTCCTTCATAGCCAAATTGCTTGATGTGGTTACCAGTTCTTAATGGTCAGATTTTTGCAGACCAAGGGGAGAGTGCTACTGTGTTCCTGCCATCTGGGCTGAGATGTAAAGCATGCTGGAATTTTCATTTGAGTGCCTCTTTTTAACTTGTTGCAGCTACTTCTTCAGTTGCAGCACCTAAGACAGAGCCTTCTCCTTCACTACCTTCAGCTGGTTCTCTGCCTAGTGTGGCATCCACCACGGCCTCTCTTCTGCCTTCAGCATCACAGCATGTGGCAGCGTTACCCAGCTTGCCTCAGTCCAGTGATCTGGCCAGCAGCTCACTCTCCCAGCTGAGCAGGTACAGTAGAGTTGTGATAAACTGAGGGGGTCAGTTTTAGGGATAGGACAGGTGTAAGGGTGGTTCCAATATGGGGCTGTCAGGGACCAAGTGTCCCTTTTCTGATATGAACCAGAATTAGGAGAGAGATTCAGAAGAGAACAGAATGTTTCTGGTTGCAAAGTATGAGCTCTGGGCTGCCTCCTAATGGCAGAGCATCTGCTGCCCTCATGCTTTCATGATACATACACAGCTTTGCATTTCAAGAGGTTTGCTTCAATCATGCTAGCTAAATCAGCTAAATTGATTCCCCCATTTTATTTTTCCCTATTTTGTGCCTGCTGGTTTTGTTCAGTGTCATATGTTTGAAATAATTTTTTTAACAGTTTACTACATGGCAAATTTGAAATAGTGTAGTCTCATTTATATTTGTTTGTTAGAATTAAAACCCAGTAATAATTTCACAGGAAAACTGTGTGTGCTTTCTTTTTCTAAGATATTTCCTTCAGATACTTCAGAATATTAGACTGATGTTCCTGGAAGTGTATCTAGCACAGTTCAGCTCATTTGCACTGTCTCTCTCTTTTTCTGAATGCCTATTACGTCCTCAGTCAGGTTGATTCCTTAGGATTTTAGCTTTTATATTTTTCATGTATTTGTAATCCTGTAATTCTTTAGTGTATAATTCTAAACTCCCTATAGAGTGTTAGCTTCTGTCTTCACATTTTAGAATGTGAAGACACAATTCTCATTCCTCTCTAGGCCTGGGAATCAAGCTCCCTTCATTGTCTCAGCCCCTGAGAAATGTAAATCAAAGTGAGTTGGGGGGGAGTAAATCTGGGGTAAATTACTTCATTACCTGAAGCTGTAACTGGAAGATGAACCCCCAATATGCAAATGGATATTTGGATATTCCACTTATGAAGGTGTGGAAACTCATGACTGGCCATCCATTTTTGGGTGTAGCTTCTGGGGAGGCTTCATCTGCTCTTAATGTACTTGAAGGCCCTTCAATAAATATAACCACTTCTTATTCTCTTAATTTTGTCTGGCCTCTGTTTTTAGGTAAACCTGAAAAAAGTATCAAAGTGACATCCTGAAAGTGTATTGATTGAGTTATATTTTTTTATACTCACCTTTGTACTGTATTTGTTAATACAAGAAACTGATTTGGGATATTGGGGGTCTTTTTCCTGTTTCACAGCTAGGACATAGTTTGTTTTCGTTTAACACTCTAGTACGTTTTTGTTGAATAAAATAGTAAATATGTCAAACAAGAACTGTTCTCTTTACATTGGTCACATTTCCCCACATTGATTTGTTGAAAAGCTGTATAAATGGATGGAAATTTCAGGTGGGGGTTCATGCTGACAGATACAAAATTTCATCCCTCATCAGGACGCCTGAATTTGAAATTTGTCTGACTTGGTAGAGCTGATGACTGTGGTGTGTGTCTCTACCATAGGTCAGATGGTGAATTAAGGCTTATCAAAAGAGCTGGGAAGAGTGGGCAAGCGAGTGGTATAAAACTCGTGTGTTTTCCCTTGTTGCCTAAAGTGATACTGTTGTGATTCCTGAAGAAGGGGGACAGTTTTGGAAGTTAATCTATGGAACTGCAAAAGTTTATTCTGGGCCCACGCCTTGAAGAGCTACCAGAAATGTTTGCCCTTAAATTAGGTCACATAATGTAGCTGTCACTTTTGGTATGAAAACTGCTGTGTTTTCTTGTGGCTGTTTCCAGAGAGAGCACTAAACTAATTTTGTTGTTAGGATCTCTCCTGATTCTTATTTAGTAAGGAGGAGGTTTTTTGAGTACCAAACTGTACATGTGTTTTATAACTTAATTTTGATTACCTTTGTTCAGTTTTGTTTCAGTTTATTGCATACTATACACAGTAGTTTACATTCTTGACCTTGAATATAAGGTATAACTTGTCAGTTCAAATGTTTAAGTGCCAGTTTCAGTCACCTTTCAGAGAAACATTTGAAGATCTCTGGATGAATTATGGGGCAAATACTCTGCAGTTCTAATTGGTTGAGTTAATGTTATGCAGCTCAAAATGTGAGAAACACCACAGTGGGTCAAACCAAAGCATTGCCTCACTTAAAACCTGTCCACCACGATAAGCAGCAGCAGAGAAAGAATGAGTAACAGGGCTTCTGCGGGTGTGAGTCTTGTTTTTATTTTGGACTTCATATGTCATGGAGTCATTGCTATTTGATTTCTGAAGCAGCTATAGTTTTTTCTAAAGATACAGTAAATTGAAAAATACATAAATACATAAATAAAATAAAATGAATGGTGTTTTAGATGTTTCTTGTTAGTAATAATGACTCCACACTTAATTTTTTTCATTAAAATAGGTAGGTTACTAATTAAGGGGAAAAGTGCCTGTAGAGGTGTCTGTATTCATACACACACATATACATGCCTGTGTGTGTATACACACACTCTTACATGTATTTTTTTCTTTAACTATTCTGTTACTCAAGGTGTGCACACACACCTAGAATTTTTATTCTTCAACTAATGTCTTACTGCATATCTGTTTTTGTTAAAAAGGAAAAAATAATCTTATTAATTCTTTGCAATTTCCTTCTAGCTCCCTTTCCAGTCATCAGAGCAGCCTCTCTCCTGCCTCAGTGTTGTCTTCAAGCACATCACATGTGGTAAGCCCTGTTAGTATTAAAACAAGTGCTTGGCATAGTCAATTTATCTCATAATTAGGAGTGTATCTTAAAGCTGGATGTGTCTCACTACCCCAAGAACCAAAACAAGAGCCTTAGCTCAGGGAAGAAAGAATGTCAGCCCTCTAGTGGGGGAAAAGTGATTACCACTTGTGATTTGTACTGGATCAGGAATAGCTATTACAGAGACTTGCCAGTCACAGATCTGTGAGGGAAGTTGTGCCACCTAGGGGGGGATGAAATAAAAAAAAAGTTGCTTCAATTAATTTATTAAATTAAAAAAACAAAACAAAAAACAGACTTGAAAGTGGCAGTCGGAAATGTCTCCAAAATGTGGACTGTTAGCAGTCTGGAGAGCACTGGAGAGGTTAGCTGACAAAATGCAGGTGAGGGAATGATATATGTTATGTTTGAGTTACTGTATTATAATTTTGTGATGGTATAGAAATTTGAGTTTAGCTCTCATACAATAATTTTCTTTAAATCACAAAAACATCACAAGCATGTAACTTAGTTGCTTTCTTGGTACATAGATAATGCATATCTTCTGCATGTGCTGCTGTTAAAGTTTTTGTTGTTGGTTTTTTTTTTTATTTTCCCTTTTTCCCAGCTTCTTCCACTGTGGTTTATTTGCTCTGTGATCCTCATTCTTTTTGTCTCCTTTTCTAGCACACTAGTATTGAGAACACAACTTCGCTCCAGCCCTCAACAACCTTTTCAACTGCTTCAACCTCAGCCACTAGCACCACCTCCTCGGTTGTCAGCATGGCAAGCAGTATGAACACTACAAACAGCCTTGGCCTGAGTGTTACCAGTGTGTCTATACCAGCTGCTACCACACGGGCAGCTCCCTTAGTGTCTTCAGGTTGGCAATATTGACTGATCACGTGGATAGACAGAGGATTTCAGTCAGCAGGGCTGTCAGTTGAGCATCTCACCCACCATAACAACGCTAAGAAGTCCACACCCTTCACTGACATTTCCAGCATGCTGTATTTGCTGGCTTATGAAATAAAGTCGCCTGGTTTTACTTCTTTGAAATATTTGTTAGGGTGTTATGTGGCATTCATATAGCACATTCCATCCTGAAAGAGCTTTATAAATACACAGAGCAGTTCTGACTTGGGAAGTTTTGGACTAGAAAATTCACCCAGCTTGTATTCCAGGTTATGATCAGCTCTTGACTGTGAGTTCACATAAACTTTAGTTTCAGGCTTTTCTGTGACTTGAATTCATTTGGCAGTATCAGAATATACTGCAGTGTCCTCATTATCATGTGTCACATCCTGTACTGCCACTTCTACAGGAAGGGAAAATGTCTGGGTCATTGCACAGCAAATAGCACTTCAGAAGGAGGGTCCATGGAGAAAGAGGGCTGGGAGGTTTCTTGCACTGAAGTGGAAGTGATGCTAAATTCTGTTTCTTCTCTGATGATCCTGAAATGCTAAAAGAAAATCTTGTAGAGAGAAGTGGGTGATATATTATTAAGGATCAGGCTTAGTTACGGAAGTATTTCTCATCTCTATAGCTTGTAAAGGAAGTGTCTTAGGGCTGACCAAAGTGCATTGTTCTTGTCCTGTTCTGCTTCGTGAAGGCAGCTGAAATGGTTTAAGTCTTCTCTTTCCTATTCCTAGCTGTAGGAAGTCACCCACAGAAAGCATGCTGCAAGCATTTAGTGCTTTCCAGTCTATTACTGGTGATAAAGGGAATGTGTTGACAGAGCATGAAATGAAAGAAGAGAATTTGCTCTCTCAGATTAAGAATGATATCTAAATTTGCCTTCAGGAAAGGACTGAGCAAAAGAGAAATTTCTGTAGTTCTTGTAATCCTCTTGGACAAAGTAAATGACAAAATCAGACTGTTCTCTGGTAGGACTGTTTTCAGGCTTAAGTCGCCTGTGCTTTCCCTCCCTTGAGGCATGGTTAAACTCTTCAGGCTGTTTTGAGCATATTCATCGAATGGCACAAAGTCTCCTCTTTATAATCTAAGATGGTGCAGCTGCCACAACTTGTGAGCTATCTTGTCTCAATGCTGAAGCCTCTTCTTCTCTAAAGGCTTGTTAAAGTGTCTGTATTTTGATTCTACAGGCAAAGCTCCCCCAAACCTGCCCCAAGGTGTACCACCCTTGTTGCATAACCAGTATATTGTGGGACCTGGAGGACTTCTGCCTGCCTACCCAGTAAGCAGTTTCATTGTTTCTGTCTTTGATTTCTTAGCCCTTGGCGCAAGTGGGCCCTCCAGACCTGCTACTGTCTATGCCAAGGCATTTCTGGTGGCACATGTTACACCTGGAATTCTTGTTCCATATGCTAAACAATATCTTAAATATGTTCAGTAGAGGCTTACTGTTGATTGTAAACTGCAGAGCTTTTGGTACAGACCAGATCTGGCTGCTGTTGAAGCTAAATATGGGTGTGGCTATGGTTTTCAGTGTTAACAGGTTTTAGGCCCTTCGAATAAATTCTGGTTTCTTTAGGTTTGTGGTACTGGAATGGATTTAATATAGCAGTGACTGGTATGTGTCACATGTCCTGTCTGTCATGGTTCGAAAGACTACACATAGCTTTTTGATGTCTGACCAGCATCAACGTATTTTGGGCTATTTGTTTTTTATCAGTAATTTTTCTCTGTCAAACTGAATGTGAGGAGATACCCAGGAGGTTGTGTTGTGGTCAAATCATCAACTCTTTAATCTTAATGCTCTTTGAAGCAATGATTACAGCAAAGAGGGCTGTTGTTCTTGCTCTTAAATCTGAATGCCGGGTAGATTTTTCATGAGTTCAGGAATGATGTGTCTGTGAAAACTGTATTGAAGATGGGACAGTCAAACTCTCCTCAGAGGACATTGTCACCGGGAAACAACATCAGAGTGACAAGCCTTTTTAACTTCAGTTCTACTCTCCTTGAAGTGCTACAGTGCCCCATGATAGCGCAAAGCGACATACGGCTGTAGACCTTTAACACAGACTGGGCTTAAGTCAAACTCAGTTCAAAGCCCCAAACTGATCACCATCAGAAAAAAGTGTTATAATGATGTTGTATTTTTATCTGTCTTTAAGCAGATTTATGGTTATGATGATCTCCAGATGCTTCAATCCAGACTGCCAATGGTAAGTAAATGACTTCAATTTTAAACAAGTTGTCTTCACTGTTGACCATTTGTGCCACATAAATTGGTTCATTTAACAGCGGTTAAGAGCTTTTCCTTATGTTCTGTATTTCTTTCTTAAATTTACACAAGGATTGTGTAAATGGATAGAGAGCAACTGTTTCATCATGCATGTGTCCAGCTGAAAAATCTCTAAAACGACACAAGTGTGCTCTATGATCCTGAGTGGAGAAATGCCTAATTTTTGTAGCAACATAATTACATTTTGTCTAATCTAGTTGAAGTCTAAGTGTTTTCTTTTACCAAGAAATAAGGTTGAACAGCAAGTACACAAGTTGGTAGCCAGTAGATGTATCTGACAGGTTTTGGAGGTGCTCATAGGTGTTGATATTTGCATATTTATCATGGCAACAAATGCAGGTGAGTTGCAGGAGGGAGAGTGTGCAAAGTTTTTTATCTTATCTGGATCCAGAATGCCGATAGCATATGGGACAGGCTGAGCTCACAGATGGATTCAAAAAGGGCCTCAATCTAGATTGCAAAATGATAAAGAATTTTCCTGTCAGAAGTGTAGGGTAAGGAACTTGGAGAAAAGGTTTGGTAGTAATAGGTAACTGAGAACAGTTACATACTAGAGTGATGCAGTATATCTGTAGAGGCAGAAAGGAGCAGTGAGCAGTGGTCTGGGAAGATTGGATGAATGCCATAGGTAATGTGTCCCAAATGTAAGTCCCAAATAAGTACCAAATATTCCATGTAGAGCCTAGAGCAGCCAGAGTCAGATAGTTTAAAGGTGAGGATAGGGATGACTCAGACAAAGCTCTGTCAGACTGCAGACCCTGAATTAAAAAAACCCCGAAGTTGAGCACATGAATAAAGACTCTTACCAAAGAAAGTTGTGATACTTAAAGAACTGTCAACTTAAATGTATGGAATTATTTTTGTGGCAACAAGATGCAAAATATTTGAAGTTGCAGGGGCAGGAGACACGTACTGTAATGTGTTAACACTAACTAGATGCCTGGTGGCCACCAAGCTGCCCTATCACTCCCCCTGTCATCTGGTCAAGGGAGAAAATAAATCCTGAAAGGCATGTGGAGTATGATAAGTACAGGGAGAAATTACTCGCTGGTTACGGTCATGGGCAAAAGAGATTTGACTTAGGGAAATTAGTCTAACTCATTAGCAATAAAATCAGGGCAAATAGTAAGTAGATAATAAAACCAAATCTACAGAATATCTTCCCTTCACCTCTCATGTTTTCCTGGACTTAGTTTCACTCATGATTGTCTCTGCCTTCATCTCCCAGTTGGCATAGGAGGATGGGGAGTGGGACAGCCTTGTGTGCCATCACACTTCTGCTCCTTCCTCCTCACACTCTTCCCTGCTCCCATTTTGGTTCCACAGTCCTCCAAAACTTCAACATGAGTCCTAAAATGCTTTATATTGGAAGAAGCGCCTCTGCTATGGGAAGGGAAATCTTCTCCTGAACCACAGTGCACAAAGGCCCATCCAGTCTGGCCTTGAATACTTTCAAGAATGTGGAAATCTAGGTACCTCTAAGACTTCTTCCAGTGCCTCACAGTCCTCATAGTAAAAAATTTCTACCTAATGCCTGATATAAACCTACTCTCTTTGGGTTAGAGATACTCCCTGTAGTCCATTATGTGTCACTGCAGATGCTGTTCAGAATTCGGTTTGCTTCTTTTTTGTAAGGTACCTTGAAATGTTGAAAAGGCTGCAATAAGATGTGCGTAAAGCCTTGTCTTGTCCAGGCTGAAGAAGCCCAGCTCTGTCTTCTGTCTTCAAAGCAGAAGTGCTCTGACACTCTGATTCTGTGTGTGGCCCTCTAGTGGACCTTTTCCAACAGGTCTGTGTGTCCTGAGTAATGAGGACAAAAACTGGGAAGGGAGTGGGAAACTAGTAAAAAGAAAAGGGACAAAGACTCTTCATTGAGGTGATGATACACAACACCTAGGGAATTGTCACCAAAGAGGGTGATGCCAGATCCTCCTTTGACAGGTGTAGTGAGAAGAGTGAGCAGGGCATCTGCAAAGCCCTATTTGGAGAAGGGCTTGGAGTACATGTTGACAGAAGGTGGCTATACCCTGGGCTATAGACTGGTTGCAGTGCTAGTAAGTATAGATGCAGAGGCAGTTGTTTTGTCATAGGTCTTTATTTTCCGTGGCATAAAATAGCAAGTAAGTAGAAAAATAAATATGTGAATAAGTAAATAAATATGCGAATAAATAAATAAATGAACAAATAAATAATTGGGTGGAGAAGGTCTTCAGTCCTAATGAAGGGGAGAGGCTGTACCAATGGAGACGCAGTGGTTGCAGGCTCCGGGCGCCGTGCGGTTGTTAGAGGCATGTCGGTTGTCCCAGGTTGGGGGGGCGGGCGGGTGAGGCTGGAGGTGGGTTTGGGGTGCGGGTGTTTGTGCTAGCGGCGCATGGTGCGTGTGAGGTTGTGGAGGTGCTGCAAAGAGGCGCGAGCTTCGAGGCGGACGTGGTCCCAGGCGCAGGCGCTGTGGTTGTGGGCACGGAGGAAGAGGTGGATGTCCCTGAAGTACTTGTTGATGGTGAGCAGCAGGTTGCGTGGTCCTTTGAAGAGCGTGGCGTTGTCGGGGAGGCAGTGCTCGAGGAGGTGGATGTGGTGCTGGAGTTTGTTGAGGAGGTCGTTGCGAGCCTGGGTGGGCCAGTGCTGGCGGGTGCTGTTGGTGCTGAGGGTGTGGAAGAGGTGCTGGAGGATGTGTAGGGCGGTGTCGGCGGCTTGGTGCGGGTGGAGGTTGTCGCGGAGGAGGGTGTCGGGGAAGAAGGGCGGCTCCTGGAGGTGGCAGGGCTGTGTGTGGCTGGGAGCCATGTCCTGGAGGAGGCGGAGTGCGTCGCCAGGGAAGGTGTCGTCGTGTGTCCAGAGCTGTTGGCAGGCGAGGGCGGTGGCGAGAGCGGTGAGGAGGAGCGGGAGCACCGGAGCGGCGTGCGGCAGGCGTGTCTGTGGGGCTTTGAGCGCAGCCATGGTGGGTCTGTGGGTGCTGTCGGACAGCGGTGAGCAGGAGCCCGGCGAGGCTCGGTGCTGCTGCTGGTGCTGGTGGCTGTGCTTGGGACGCCGCCGGGCGTGCGGCTTTGTATCGCGGCAGCTTTCCCTTCTTCGCTTTCCGATTGCTGGGGGTTTCCGCCCGTGGTTTCTAGTTTGGGCTGGTGGCTGTAGTGGTCTCGGGGCAGGCAGGGTTTAGCTGGGGTGTCCGTGGTCGGGGATGGTGGTGGCGGTTGTGGTCTCGGGGCAGAGTGGCTGTAGTGGGTGAACGGGGTTGAGAAAGCGCTAGGTCCGAGGTGTTGGGGTCAGGTGTGTTGGGGAGGGCTGTTGTTGTTATTCCCTGTCACCTGCAGGGCCAGCTTTCGGGCCTGTGCTGTGCAGCTGAAGCCTCCTTTGTGCCTAAGCATTTTTTCCACCTGCAAAGCCCTGCCGGTGGCTGTGGTCGCTTTTCCTTTCACTTTGTGGCTTGCCTTTATTTTCATCTTAGCCGCTGTTTTCCTTTTGCGGTTGCAAGGGATGTGCAGTGATGTCAAGTGGGCGAGGGCTGGGTATCTCCCTCCTGCGGTGAATGCCCCGGGGCGGTGGCAGTGTGCGAGGGGCTGTGTGCGGGAGTAAGCCTCGGAGGCGGCGAGTGCGTTCTTGCGCCGGTGTGGCCCAGGTGCCGTGTCGGAAGCTGAGGTGGCGGGGCAAGAAGACATTTCAAAATAGGGTGGATGAAGAAGGAGTAGGAAGACCGGGAGAGCTTTGTTGTTGCTCCTGTGTTGTTTGCTGTGTGTCTGTGGTGCCGTTTGTTTGGCGCTAGAGCGGGGCCGTAGTTTTGTTTTCCCTGCTTCCGTAGATGAGGCAGGCAGAGAGCGAAGGGGGACTGTCGCCCGTCAGAGAAACGCTGCTGTGTTTTGGGGTTGCCAGAGCCCTCCCCCGGAAGAGTGTGTCCAGCTGAAGGCTCTTTGGTTCATGGGAGGAGTGGAGCTTTTGGCAGGAGTGTCTGCTCTGAAGATGCAGAGGGCATCAGAGGACGTCACGTGTGAGAAAGGCTGAGGGGGCTGGGCTGCTTCAGCCGGAGTAGAGAAGACCTGCCAGTAGTTTCAGATGCCTTTAAACAAAGGCCAGAATCTGGGGAGTGCAAAGAGGTGTTTGTTTGCACCTCTTTGTTCACGGATGTGCACGGGGATGACGTGGCTGGCCTCATCGGGACGTAGCCGGGACTATTCCTACCATGAGTGGATGCTGGGATCTGGAGGTTTTAGACTTCAGGGACGAGAGGCTGTGGAGACGGGCAGGTGGTTGCAGCCTTGTGTGTCACTGAGCTCCTGCCACACCGCCAACGTCGCGGAAGGCAAGTGCTGGGAGCCCTGCAATGAAGAATGAAGAGGCCGAGGCCACTGGAGGATAAGATGTGGTGTGAGACCGTCTAAGGAAGCTGAGTATGTGGAAGTCCATGGCACCTGATGCCATGGCATCTGCACGTCCTGAGAGGACTTGAGAGATGGAGTTGCTAGGCCAGCGTGGATCGGTTTTGAGAAATGATGTCTGTCAAGTGAAGTCACCGATAAGTGGAAGAAGGGAAACAGCCCCCCTGTTTTTACAAAGGGAATAGTGGAAGAGTGTGGGAACTGCAGAGCAGTCAGCGTGAGCTTCGTCCTAGGCAAGGTGATGAGGCAGCTTCTGTGGGAAAGAGAAACTCTGCTAAGGCCGCTGGAAATGAGACAGGGGACTGGAAATGGGGACTATGGCTTTTGAAAGTGGGAAGCTTGCCGTTCCCGGCATTTTTGGTGATGTTCTATACAGTTAGGGCTGCAGAGCGCTGTGTAAGAGTAAGTGACCTTGTGTGCCTGGACTTGTGGCAAGTGTTTGACACTGTCCCGCAGGACATCCTTGTCTGTTAAGTGCCAGGGCCGCGCATTTGGATGGATGGAGCGCGGTGTGGGTGAAGCGGATGAGCTGCAGCGGTGCTTTCCAACCTTAGCG